GCCACTGGGTGCTGTGTTTCGGTGATGCTATTGAAGAATTAGGCTTCCCCCCCCCCCTTTTCCTTTTTGGCTGCTGGAGCAAAATCCTTGCCAATATTCACATCTAGTATTTACACGGAAACAAAGCAGAGAACTTGCATCAAAGCAATTGGGCTTAAAGCCGTTATGGGCGCCTCTCTCATTGTTGTTTCTTTTTACTGTAATTCTATTCCTGCTTATTTTCAGTTCTTCCGAAATGGGATAGCTCTCATAAAAACCTTGCACTTTATTTATTTATCTGAATCTTTACAAATAAAAATGTTGCTTCAATCTCCAGCGGTACCCGTGGAGAGGGAGAAAGCTACCTCAACTGCTAGATCTTGCAGCTCTTACTGGAGAGATCAAAGCTGAAAAACTGATAACTAATGGCAGTAGTAAACACTTGGGGAATCAATGTGAGCAACAGTAGAACTGCTCTTGCAATTTAAATCACATGATTCCTTAAAAAATACAAGTCGTTCTCCTACAGCATGCTGAGGAACATAGTATGGTATATACATATGTGGAGACAAGTAATCCCCTCCAGCATGTATTCTTATTCATTCTATTAAAAAGACCATTTATAAAGCTGAACAGAAAACCAAACAAAGTGCCGAAGGATGTTACTATCATGTGGTGAACAAATATTTCTGGTACAGTGAAATGTGAGGTGAATAGCTCCCAAGTGTACCTATTTGTAACGGGATTCTTCTCTGGCTGGGGGCGCACTGGTGGTAAAGGCGGGAAAAAGATTCGGAGGCTGGTCCAAGTTTTCAACAACAACGGCTTTATTTTTAACTGCGTTCAGTTCAACGGAATCAAACGGATCTAATAAACTAACTTCAGGTAACAGTCTGTATTCTTTAACTCGAACATATGGAGGTATTTCGTCCTCCTTCAATAAGGAGCTGGGCCAAAGCGTTCCCGATCGGTTAGGGGCCTCAGGGGGGCACTCTGCACTGTGCAAACCGTCCCACAACATGGATGCCGGACCCAATCCCCTTCTGGGGAGTTTCTGCTGGAAAGAGGGACCAGGTCGGATCACTCTCCTCCCTCCAGGGTGGTTGCGGGGGTAAACGACCACCGGCCATTCTAAGGGGTCGTATCCACGTCCCTTTGGTCCCATCAACGAAGGATCAGGCAATAAACCACCTTCCAATTGCAAATTTGGAAAGTCTTTCAACATCCCTCCTATCCCCTCATGAACGGGCATGGGTTCCGTTTGCACCCCCCGACTCACAGTTCCTGCCAACGCTCCATCTCCCATCCAACTAAAAACGCGCACTTCCCCCTCCCCTTTTATATCTTCCCAAAGTATCAAGTCCAGTTCCTCCCCTCCTTCATCTGCCAAACAAACTTCAGTAGTTTTCTGGGGTTGCACTTCCTCCTGTTCTATTTCTATTAATATGCCTTCTGCGCATCCACTCTCAGTCACCGCACCTGATGGTTCTGAGGACGGCACACTGCTCTTCTCCCTTTCACACTATTACATTTTAATGAATCTATATGCTGGATTTATTTGCAGGCTAAACGACATTAGGGCATCATATTATGAGAGGCCTCTACATAAACCTTAAAGACTCAAAGCATGTTTGAACATACACATTTTTGGTATTGGTAGGGGACCTCTTAAAACTGATGCATTTTAGGTCCTTAGCCCTGACGAAGCAAGCTCAAATGCAGCTGAATGGAAGACTGAGCTTCGGTCTGTGATTAGCTTCTCATGTCTGGCAGTAAGCTGCTGCCTTTCTGTTTCCTTACAACAAGCTAGAGAAGGAATCTAGGATTTCCTCTTGGCCTTTTAAAATTGAGTTGTTGGGAGAGGACCACAGAAGAGGCTATTTTCCCTCTGATATAATCTCGCCATGGAACTTTGTGGTTTAGCTGCTCCCCACTGCAAGTGAGACTGATCGTGCACTAGTATGCTGCTTTTTCATGAGAAGCCAGGTTTCCTGCAGATGCCTTGGTTGTCATGTCATGCAAATGCATTCATGGTTATGTTCTTAAAACACAGGTGCTTTAACTTGTTTTTTCCAATGCTTTTGACTTAGGGTGCAACTAGGCAGCTGAATTATTATCCCAGCCTGGATTGGTCTAGATCGTGCTAAACAGATTCACACTTTCAGATGCAGTATCTGGTGATCCTTGTATCCACATGCAGGAATTGATGTATCCATACCACACTTCAGGCAACGTTATTTAGCATAACCGAGACAGATCCTTTAAAGAGAAAAAAATAAAAACAAAAAAATCTCCCATTTCGTCTATGCTTTGTCTAAGCCATTTAATGATCTTGAGAAATGGGAAGCTTCCTCCCATTTCATCTATGCTTTGTCTAAGCCATTTATTGATCTTGAGAAATGGGAAGCATCCTTTCTCTTTGCCTGTGAGATATATAATGAGATATAATGTGAGAACTGCAGGGCTGAAAGTCCAGCTCCTATCAAAGAGGTACGGCAGGGAATTGAACTGCTGACCTCTGGCTATCTATGCTTTGTCTAAGCCATTTATTGATCTTGAGAAATGGGAAGCATCCTTTCTCTTTGCCTGTGAGATATATAATGAGATATAATGTGAGAACTGCAGGGCTGAAAGTCCAGCTCCTATCAAAGAGGTACGGCAGGGAATTGAACTGCTGACCTCTGGCTCTTCATCAGTCCAGCTCCTATCAAAGAGGTACAGCAGGGAATTGAACTGCTGACCTCTGGCTCTGCAGCCAAATATCTAAAACACTGAGCTCTCCAGTAGTTCTGTGGAGTATAGGGGAGAGGAACTATGTATTCCAATTATTTTTAATTGTTGCTAACTGACACAGCACATCAGCGATGCTTTGAAATGTTTTGTTTAAAAAGCCCTTTCAAATACTGTAATCACTGATTGATGTATTATACTGTTGAAGGTTGATGGGAATTGCAGGCCAACAACACTGTGAGGCGTGTGAGTGGCCCACCCTTGCTTTTATTTTTGAATTAAATCTTACAGAGTTAGTAACAAAAGAAGCCTATCCGCATTTTTGAGCATGAGATGCCCACAAGACCCTATACCACTGTTGTAGATTCACCTGTGAAGTTGCACGGTGCTTTATAAATGGGATGTGGGTGCTTAGGAGCACTCCTTCAGGGACTTGTCTCCTCTACTGGTTTAACATTACATGCTGAAGTTAGCTGTTGTTGCTAAACACACACGCTTTGGAACAATTTCAAGAGGAGCTTCTTTTTCAGAGCACAATTGCATCAAACCAAGATGGTCGAAGAGCCAGCTGAGTTGTTGTTCAGCTGGCTGAAGTTGTGCTTAACCCAAACCCTGGTTGTGTTGGAAAGTAATTCAAATACTTTTGTCTTAGCCTAACTTTGTGCCACCTTTATGGCTGCAGGAAGTTTGGCTCTAGAGAAACGTGTTTCTTCCCTTTCCCTTTGTCTCTATTTGAGCCACATGAGGTAAGACATGAATCCCTTTACTAATGTATTGTTCCGCTGGTTTACATTAGAAAATGTATTTCAAGTTCCTTTGTTTTAAAATGGCCACCATAAGGTCATTGTACATCCAGGGAGACTGTAGTGTTTCCCACTAGGGCATGAAGTTCGGTGACTGACATAGCTTGCTACCTGGGATTAACTGAGCTTTTTAGCTTTGTGAACTCCTTTTCCTGAATGTTTCTGGAGTCTGTGCTGGCTGAACATGCATGTTGATGTCTGGAGAGCTACTTAGGGATGAAGCTTGGTGCACCATCTACCAAATGGTAGGAGCAGGCCACACCGCATGCAACTTATGTAGCCTCTTCTAACCTGAAGCCAAATAATAGGGCATAAAAATGGTGAAGATGTTACCAGTGAGCAACATGATCCGTGGGTTGCTCTGCAGTTGCCTGGGTCTCTGTGCTAGCGGTTTTAATTTAAGGCCAGCCTTTCTGTTAGGAAGACTGAGTCATCTATTGAAGACAGTGAATTTTCATTGGCCTGCTACCTCAGACCACTCCCCCTAATGAAAGGGGCATCCCTGGACTCAGGCAGCACAGTATTTTATGCCGCCCATGATTCACTTCGGTTTGTTCCTTTTGGCCATCAGTGTCTTGGGTCTCTCAGGTAGGATTCAGTGAGACATAATTATTCCTGTAAACCTCTGAGCAGTGTCTGGTATCAGCGATTTCAGTTGACGGTTGGTTCCTAGACCACTGCTCCCCTAGGAGTGTGTGAAACCCCAAGAGAACCTAAGACAGCAAAATTTAAAATTTTAGTGTAAAATTGTTATTACTGTTGTTCAAACGAGACTGAACGAGAGTAATGGAGAGGTGAAGGTTTCCCAGAAATCAAAAAGGCGTATGGTGCAAAAAGTTCAGGAAATGGTGTAGTAGACTACAGATGTGTTTTCTTCTTTGTAGCAAGTTCACTGCTTCACTTGTGTTTGTGTGACTAGTTTTAAGCTTCTTAGAGAGCTTTTTGGAAGTTTGTAGCTTAAGTGATGCTGAAATCAGGTTTTGCATTTGCATCTTCTAGAAATCAAACTGGGAGGGGGAGTGAACAGAAAATTCAGATTTAGTTTCAAGCTGACCCCTTATTCCCTCTTCAAGCGTGTATGGTACACACTGTACCTTTTTCTTTGTTTATATCAAAGGAGAAATAAAGATACCCCTGATTGCCACTGTATTGTTTTATGCCCTTACTATTTGTAATATTCTGCATAAGAAGAGTCAGCAGGCAAGGATCTGGCGACACGCCTCCTTTATCTCAGTCTCTCTTCCTTGGTAGGGAAAGGAAACTCAGGCTGCGTTCAGGCATTCCAGAAAGCGAGGAATGTATTGCATCTGGAAATGAGCAACACATTCCTCTATGAGCAGCCCCTCACAGAAGAAATGGCTTCCCTCCAAGGTGAGACGATGCTCACTGCGCAGGGAGAGGAAGGAGGGGATCTCGATGACGCGCAGGTTAGCTGTGCGCCCCCAAGTGGCTACTCTTGGGCGGTGCCTGGAACGCAGTATCTCGGCAAAGCAAAACTGAAGAAATTGGGATATAAATGATAATCCAAGCAGCAGTGCCTCTCACTCCCACCGCCTCCCTCTCAGTGGGTTGGGGGAGAAGGAGACCCCCCTCCCTTCCAGGGCAGCTGGCTAGCCAGGCGGCGGCTGCCGGCCGCGCATTCCTTGCCGTCCCCAGGGAGGGCTCGGAGGCAGTGAAAGGCGCGCTTATGCGCCGCGGCGGCAGACACTGCCCAATTCACCCGCCTTCCCCGGCAGCCCTCGCCTTCCCCGCTCCTGTTTCCAAGTGCCCAAGCACAGCAGCGGTCGGCCATGAAGCTCCCGGGGCCCGCCGCGCTCCCCTCGCCGCCTCCGTGCGCCGTGGCGCTCCCGCTGCTGCTGCTGGCGGCGCTGGCGGCGGGCACTCGGTCGGAGGTAGCGGAGAGTCCCAAGGGGAAGCTGAAGGCGCTCCGCCAGCGGGAGGTGGTGGACCTGGTGAGTGGGCAGGAGGAGGGAAGGGCGAGCCGAGGGGCCGTTTCTCCCGAGGGAGGCGGCTGGTGGGGCTCCTGGGCTGCTTGTCGGGAGCCAAGGAAAGTTACTTGGTAAAAGTAACGCAGTTGCTTGCGAGAGCGGTTGAAAAATCATTCTCCGCTTTACGGCGGAGCGTTTGAAAGCCTTTCATTGCCTTGCTTGCTCTCCGTTACCTCAAAGCGCGCATACACACGCGCACAAAACACTACCGAAATGTCTTAACCTTGGAACGTTTGAAATGAACCAGAACGTGGGGCTTGTTGCGTCAACAAAGTAAGTTTGCGCCTACTCCTCTGTTAATGTTCAAACGCAATTTCGTTACACCCTCGTTTGCCAGCAGTAACTAGTTGCATTAAAGTAGTTAGTTGTAACCGTAGCTCTGGTTTCTCACGGGAAGCTCCTCTACTTAAAGAAATGCCGTAGCCCCTGAAGCACACACGACCAGTGACATTCCAGATAAGTTGTTGCCCAGAGAACTGCTGGCAAAGGTCTCCCATAGCACTGCAGAGAACATAGGAAGGTGGTAATGATTTTAAACACGCACACTCTTTTTGCTTTCTTTAAATACTACAACCAGGCAGTAGACTAGCAGATGAGAAAGATGCATTCTGTACAGCACTCTTCCTGATGTTTTCTTTTCTTCTTTTTTTACTACAGTTGCTTTTGCTGTTGGCATTATTAAAGCACCTCATGTTTTTTGGATGCAGTACAAACACGAAGAAAACCATTCTGATAGACATAAAACAAAAGGCAAAGAGGAAGGGACAATAAAACAACCAAATGAAAGCACCAGTAATATGGGGGGAAGTATTCAAATCATAACAATGCCTACCTGCAATCTGACTCCTATTAATCTCAGGCTCCAAAGTCCAGAGCTCCATGATGTAGTGGTTAAACTGCAGCACTGCAGTCGAAGCCTCTACTCACAACCTGAATTCAATCCCAAGAGGTTCAGGGAGCTGCTTCAAGGTTGACTCAGCTTTCCACCCTTCTGAGTCTCCAGCTCATTAGGGGGCAAGTTGTTGTTTACTTAATTTTGTTGTAAACTGCCCCGAGAGGGCTCTAAGCACTATGGGGTGTAATATAAACTGAAACAACAGCAACACGTTCCGAGTGTTGGACAGTTGTGAAGATTGTGATATAAGTTATAGGCGACAAACAGGAAGATTTTACCTATGTGCAGAATGGCACATGGTCTGCTTTTTAAAAGATTTTTGCACCCACTTAACACACCAGACACTAATAATTTGGCAGGCAGCATACCGGCATGCTGACATTGTAGGTATCCTGACTGAGAAAGCCTGACTTAAATTAACAAGGAGTCTCCAACCCACCTCTTCAGATGCATGCAACTGGAGTCCAGAAAAGCCTCTGTCAGTAAAACCTGCTCATCTTTAAGGTTAAGAAACTCTTGCGTTTCAGAGTAACATGGCTGCACCTCTAGAAGTGGCTTGAATGAGATGCCAGGTGCCTGAAACACCGCAAATCGATCCCTCTTGTTCATCCAACATCATAGTTTTTTAAAATGCTGAGATGAATGTGGAATGAGAGTGGGATCCCATGCATATATTTGACTGAGCTCTTTTTCTGCTAATGCAATGGCCCCAGCTGGCAAGTTGGAAAAGAGACTGCTGTGTAATCTAATGTGGTGGGACGTCCTGGCAACAGAGGATGAGTAACCTGATTGATCTTCTCTGCTCTTTGTTATTACTCATAGTGTTTAATGTCTGGGTGGTAGTTAGTGGGTTTCTTAAACATTCTTTCTCAACCAAGGCATTAATTTCCATGTTGTATAGAGTTGGCCCTGGTGGAGCACAGCTACAGTCATCACCACATCCTCTCTTCTCCCTGCAGTATGTCCATGGGAGGGGGAAAGTAATGAATGGTTAACTGTGTGTAAGAGAGAGGGAGGGGAGGAGGAGGTGCTCGTGAGTGAGAGATGTAGGCAAGGAAGAATAGAAAGAAATAGTTCCTTGACCAAGACACAAAACAGCTTTTAGCTTACCAGTCAGGACTGACATTTTTAAACCTCATCTGTAGACATAAGCATAGGAAACCACTGATTCATTGAAATAAGATCAAATTGAGCAAGATAATGCTGTTTCACTGCACCAACTCTGAGTTTATTAAACACCATTTTACTGTTGTGAAAGACGTGAAACTTAAAATGTGCTGTGATTACTTGCTGGGTTGTTGTTGTTTAGTCATTAAGTCGTGTCCGACTCTTTGTGACCCCCATGGACCAGAGTATGCCAGCCCCTCCTGTCTTCCACTTCCTCCCAGAGTTGGGTCAAATTCCGGGTAGAGAAAACAAATACTTAGTCTAGTTCTGAAATGATGGTCATATATTTATAATATTTATATATTTTCTTCCAAGGAACTCATCATGGTGTACATGATTTACTCTCCCTGTTTTTTACATCTCTGTGAAATTATTGTGTGAGATAGTGCCTGACCCAAGTGAGCTTCATGGATGATTATATCTCCATATCCCCCGCCTTTCCTTAAATATATTTTTTTCACTGTGATGAGAAAAGGCATGGTTATACATATGACAATACTTTTGCCACAGAAAGCTGGACCTTGTGCTTTTGAAGAAATGATAGGAATGGTTTTGAAAGGCACTAGTCAAAAGCCTACTGAGCCCCATGGCAAAGTGGTTAAACTGCGGTACTGAAGTCAAGGTAGCTGCCTTAAGGTTGACTCAGCCTTTAATTCTTCTGAGGCTGGTCAACAGAGTACCTGGCTTGTTTGGGGGCAAAGTGTTCCTTGCATAGTTAAGTTGCAAACTTCCCAGAGAGTGCTCTTGCACTATGGGACAATAAGTTGAAACAACAATAACGACAAAAGCCACAACCACTAGCCATTGAATAAGCCCATTTATCCAAAATTTAATTTAAATCCTGTTGAGCTGACAGGGGCACAGAATGTAGTCCTCTGACCCACTGCAGTTTGAAGAAGAGAAAGGTTCCTATTATATGAGGGCTTTTTCTTGCATCTTTTAAAAACAAATGTATATAATAATGTGGATAAAAGCTCAGGAACACTGTCATATGTGGTGATCACTCATTTGTTTGGTCAGAAGTCTGTGCTAGAAATCCACTGATTCAGAAGAATAGGTAGTTGTACTGTACATCTGTGTATTGAAAATATTTTGGGAAAAATCGTGTGTACAGTCAAACCAGATTAGAAAAACAAATGATCTACCCCATGTCTGGCACTTTTTATAGTGTTTTAAAGAATTCCAGGCACTTGCATGAGTAATGTTTTCCTGTAATCCTTTTCACAGCCTTGCACTTGTGGTTAGTATTATTAACACCATATTAATTATGGAGGCTGGTCATTATAAAAACTATGCCCATTTACCTGGGAGAATGCTCTGCTAGAAACTATGGGACATACTCCCTATGTCTGTTACCTGACTGTCGCCCAAACTTTTCCAAAAGTGACCAGCCTTCAGAGACCTTTTAACAGATGGCAAAAGTCAGAAGGTACTGTATCTTGAAACAAAAGCTGTTTGTGCACATATGGGTGCCCTTGGAGCAAAAGCTGAACAAAGGCGTGTAGCACTTTTTTTATACCTTCGGCTTGTAATGTTACTTTGCGTTGGCAGACTCCTCAGAGCCCCCTCCTATTTTGCTATTCACTAAAAGAAAAGAACAGGCCTGAAAGGGGGTATACATACAATACATATAGTAACCCTTTCTTGCTCCAAAGGCAGCACTGGGATGGAATTAAGCCGTAATTCTCCTGGCGGACTCCTCCCACTCAGTGAGACAAAAGTGAGTAACAACAGCATGGCCCTTTGAGTGGTAACAACCCTGACTGTGAATCTTCTCCTCAGACAGGCTTGTGTGGTGGATATATTATGATCTTTCCAGACCCAGGTGAGGACCTCTTTGATTGATTAAAGAGGCATTTTAGTGCTTTTTCCCCAATGATTTTAATTTATTTTTATTATGTAGTATTTTGACTTCCCGACTGCTGCTTTTTCTTCCCATAATTTTGTCTTGTTTATGACACTTTTAAATTGTGATTTTATACCTTATATTTAAATTTTTTCTTTTTCAGCACCGTGTACTTTGATTATTAGGCACACTAAAAGTGAAATGAATAAAAACGCATAGGATTATGCTGCACATGACTTTTTGACATGCAAATTTCATCCCAAAAGATGTGGTACAAGTCATCTGCTTCTTCTTCAAGGCCGATCCTAGCATTGGGCAGAGTGAGGTGGCCACCTAGGGTAGCAGATCTTTGGTGGCATGAAATAGTTTCATTGGTGTCGGGTACTACACACCTGGACTTGGATGGTGGAGTGCCATTTACTGATCTAGCTCAGGCAACAACATGCCCAGGTCACTTCTCTTCTTGCTGTTCCAATCAGAAGCAGACTGTGCAGACCGAATAACAGTCTGGCCTTTCCAGCATAAAACCATCTCCCTCTCCCTACCCTCACTTGGTACAAAGTGTGCTGATTGGCTGCCCTGGTGATAACAATCTTGGAACTGCAGAGCTGGAAAGGACCCTATGGATCATCCATTCCAGCCCGTCAAAGAGACCTGGTGGGGAATCAAACTCCCAACTTCCGGCTCGCAGCCACAGCAGTTCATAACCATAGGTCCATTTCCTCCCATGCAATGGTTGAAGTTATTTTCTTAAATGCAGACGCAATCTTCCCTTCTGTCTCTGTTATAATTGTTGCTATGGGCCATCAAGACACCTTCAACTCATCACCATCCTATGCATGTGTAACCCTTTCCGCTCATCTATACTTTATGTACCTGTGGCATAAAATAAATAATTAAAAATGGTTAGGTAAAAAGTTCGTGTATTTGTTTTGCATTTCAGTACAATGGCATGTGTATGCAAGGACCTGTTGGCGTTCCTGGAAGGGATGGAAACCCTGGTGTCAATGGAATCCCTGGGACCCCAGGGATCCCTGGCCGAGATGGGCTGAAAGGAGAGAAAGGAGAATGTGTGCGGGAAAGTTTTGAGGAGTCTTGGACACCAAACTATAAGCAGTGTTCATGGAGTGCTTTGAACTATGGGATAGACCTTGGGAAAATTGCAGTAAGCAAACATCTTTATATTGATAATCCATAATACAACACAGCAAATGTACACAATGTATTCGACATGGTTATGATGAGAATAAAGGTGCAGAGAAAGAAATCAAAGTGTGGTGGGAAATCTTTTCCACATGTATTTTCAGCAGAAGGGTGGCATGCAATGCCATTTGTATTACACAAGGGTTTTTGTGATTGGTTGTATGTCTCATTGCACAGTTCTTGTGCAGTTTTTGGACAGTTTCATCCAGTACAACTGCACTAGCATGGAATTTGATTCCGCAGGCATTATGCTTGAGTTGGACTTAGGCTTCCCTAGATGGTTTCTCAGCTTCAGTTGTCTTCTCATTCTAAGAGGCTGACATTGCCTCTGTGAATGGCACTAAGAGCTTTAAGTTAATATATATTGATTATTTTGGTACCACTCTTGCCTTTATCCCTGCCTGCAGCTCCCCGTTAGCATGAAGCCCTCAAGATCTGATATGATCTTAATTTGAATTCAGTCCTCTGACATAAATACATAAGTCCCTCACCATTTATTTGGGGACTTGTTTGGAAAAATTACATATTACATACTTTAGGTGTTGGGCTTTGACTTCTGTCATGTAGACCAAAGACTATGAACATACGGAAGGCACCAACTTGGGTAAGATTGATAGAGGTGGTAGCTGGAGGAAAAAGGAGGCCATTTGGTTAACTCTGAAAGAAATAGAAACAGGAGATACGAACCCATTTCAGTGAGTTAACACATGGTATCAAAACACTGGTTCTTAAATGAAATGTTTCTGTTTCAAGACTAGGCTAACTGTTCCAAAATTTTCAGTTCTTCATGAAAGACGCACCTCACTGTGACAAGTAGCCTCTACAAGGTGTGCATCCTGAGTTGCTATACTGTTAGGGCCCCAGCTCCCTATTTCAATTCCTGGCCTCTCCCAACAAGGCTGAAAAAGATATTTCCCTGGAGATTACCAGGCACACTGAATGAGATGGATGAATGATGTGCCTACAAACACAATCCAGAAAGTCTATGGCAACCAGTGCCTACCAATGCATTTCTTTTTTCACCATGCAAGTGTTGTGATTCCAATTGTCATGAAATGGCAAAGCCATTTAGCTCTGGTTACTGTGTTTCTGGAAGCATTCATATTGTCACTTTATACAAGCTTGCTTACTATTTTGGGGTGGCTGGTAGGAGGGAAATCACTCTGTAAATCTGCTGTAGGACAGAGGAGCTGAACTTTCTCTTTTAAGATTCACTTCAAGAGGTCTGTGTTGAAGTATGGGGCCAGGGGAGAGAGCACAACCTACATAGTTTAGATGCTTAGCACAAAGCTAAAAATTCAGCTGCATCTCCTAAAAGAATAACCAACAGCATCACCTTCTTGTTTCTCGCAGGAATGCACATTTACCAAGATGCGTACCAACAGTGCTTTAAGAGTTCTCTTCAGTGGCTCACTTCGACTCAAATGCAAAAATGCCTGTTGTCAGCGATGGTATTTCACATTTAATGGAGCTGAATGTGCAGGGCCTCTTCCTATTGAGGCAATAATTTATTTAGATCAAGGAAGTCCAGAATTAAATTCTACTATTAACATACACCGCACGTCTTCAGGTATGTATCCAAATCATAATGTGAGATCAGCTTAAAACTTTGCAGTAAAAGGCCTTAGCTTATGTGAAATGCCAATCATGCCACTTGTCTGGTTGCCTGTACAATGCTAATAAAAAATAAAGAGAGATACATCTCAATGATCATTTTAGTGGTAAAGAACTAGTATGAAACATCTTTAAAGTTAGACAAAAGTTATGAAATAATTGTGCAACTGGAAAAACAATGTTGTTTTTCCAGTTGTCACACAAATAGTCACACTATTTTAAAAATCAACTCTATTTCTGACCAAACCAGAAAGCACACACATTGCATAAATTTGATGATGACAATTTATCCAGCTCTCCTTCCACACTTTATGAAATAATTGTGCAACTGGAAAAACGTTACGTTTTTCCAGTTGTCACACTAATAGTCACACTATTTTTAAAAATCAACTCTATTTCTGACCAAAGCAAAAAGAATGACTCCTAAAAAAAAACCCCTAAATAGTAATAATAAACAAATTAAGCACCAGTTTCATGTGTAAAATAGGGACGTGTTATTTTCTTGGTTCGGAGCACCCAGAGTTCTGGGAGGTGCAGACCAGAAACTTAGGTTTGCAAACCAGCTTTTTTTATATTTGTTGCTGCTTTCTCTAGCCTGATTATATTTTCAAAAAAGAAAATAGAAGGAAAGAAAACACAGCTGCTGTGCTACCTGGGAGCCTTGAGTCGTCCTGGAACTTGTTTTTGGGGAGATGCCCCCTAATAGAGGTAATGGGCAGCAGATCTATGACTCCCAGTGTCTTCTGTGTCCAGGAGGACCTGCCCCTACTGGTTGGTCATGGGATGATTGATTGAATAGCAGGGAGGGAGAGTTCCTTCTTTGGAGGGCACTGGGAGTCATAACCTTGTTCCTCATTAGGCTTTACAGAGGGGTGCCTCCTGAGGAACTACAACTTGCAGGGAGACCCATAACCCTCAGGTATTATCGCAGCAGCTTGTTTTTGGAAGCAGGAACAGGCCAGAGAAAGCAGCAGTAGAGGCAAGAAAAGCCAGTCTACAGACTTACCCTTCTGGGCTGCACATTCCAGAATTCTACCTGGAAAATTACTGGACAATTCTTGGGTTTGCAGTCCAAGGTTTGCTTGACTCTTGCTTCAGGAGCAGAAATGGATTTCAGTGCTTCATGTCCGTTCTGCTTCCCCTTATTTCACCTGCAAGAGACGTACCAACCCCAGTTCCCATTCTATGCACTCCTATGCTCCTTGTTGGGATTTGCAGATCAAATCCTTTTGGTAAATCTAAGTTGTGTTTTGTCTTTATAACAGTGGAAGGATTATGTGAAGGAATCAGCGCTGGACTAGTGGATATTGCTGTCTGGGTGGGTACTTGCTCAGATTACCCAATAGGAGATGCTTCAACTGGATGGAATTCGGTCTCTCGCATTATTATAGAAGAGTTGCCAAAGTAGAACCCCTTCAGGGATTGGTGCCCGGCCCAGACACTTGTTCGCTGCCTCATGTAGACTTCATAGACCCGCAGGCCTTGAAATCTAGTTTTCTGTATATAGAAGCACTTCAGTATAACACACAAGCTTTTTTATAGAGTATTAGCTATTCTGCTGTTCAATATTTATGCAACAGCACTCTAATGATGGAAGCTGCTGTACAATCAGATGAGATGGTGGTCGTATTGTTGGCTGCAAGCCATTACAACCATGATGCAAGGAATGGTGCTTGGCACCATAGCCTCAAGAGGACTTTCGAAACCTGATTCTGAAGTCACCTCTCACAGCCATCTACCATCAATTTTTGGACTCTGGTTCATAAATTTTCTATACTATCCACGAAAGGGTGGCTCCCAGCCTATGGAGTTCCTCCACAAAAGCTTGCATTTTTGTTTGATTTTTTAAAAACTGGTCCAATAAAGGTGTCACCCACTCTTACATTTGTGCATCACATCAGATGATCTACAGTGGCTTCTGCAAACATAAATATTGAACAGGATACTGGCCAAGAGTAGATTTACTTTGTTTTAAAATAATCTGGCCAAGATTATTTTACTTAAGTCTTCCTAGCGTGTTTTCTACAATATTTTACAATAAAGATTCTGAAGCTGCAGTCTGGATTTATGTACAACTTTTGTAGAAATTCAGATTATTCTTTCAATTGTTAATACAGATGACCTTTTTTTAAATTGGGCAAAGTAAAGAAATTTTACTAGCATAGCATTTAACCTTATTGAAGTATATATTACTCTTGCTCTTGGATGTGTGAGTTCTTTAGAACTCATCAATTTCCTGTTGAAAGTAGATGGGGAAAAGAAGATTTGACGACGATGAATACAACAAGGGAATGGGAACCATGTTGGCTGCACTTTGATACATACATGGAAGGCAAATGTCATAGCATTTACTTGTTTCTAGTTTGCAATTAAAAAGTTGCTGTTATTGAGGGTGCATGTTCATGCTCAGTAAATATATGCTTGAGAATTCCAGCAGGGACTCTTGTTAACTGTTAGCTAGAAATGAGTGAACGGTATGTTGCTTGCTTTCCGTCTGTGTAACAAAGCAACAGGATTTTAGCTATTCTATTGAAGCATAGTATTCTGATGCAAATATCTGCAATTTTAATACACTAAATGGGAATGATTGTTCACATAGAAGCTCTGCATGGGCAAGCTGGATGGTCAGTTTAACTTTTGAACCAAGTAAAAATAACAGCGGACAAAGCTGAATAAATAGTTCTGAATGGTACTGTTCAGTGCTAAAAATAATCACTATCTCAAGGGGCCAACTTCAATAGCAAAACATCAGAATTCTTGGCCTAGGCATCCCATCTTTTTATTACAGTCCAGCTCTCTGGGATATCTTGAGCAAAGGGCTATACTGTACTATCTTTATCTCAAGAAAACAACCAGGAGGCATACTATCTTAATAGTTTACTTTTGGAGCATTAATAATAATTAAAAAGGGATTTTTCTGGAGACTTTTAAAATCTATCTCTGTTAAATCTGTTTTTTGATGCTTAAATATAAATCAAATAAATAAATAAATAAATACATCAATATATACAACAATAAGGGAATTAGCTTCATTAAACATATGAAACCAAATACAGTGGTGCCCTGCATAGCGACAATAATCCGTTCCGAAAAAATCGTCTCTATGTGGATTTGTCGCTATGTGGGGCAAAAAAGCCCATAGGAACGCATTAAAACACGTTTAATGCGTCCCTATGGGCAAAAAACTCACTATTATGCGGAAATCCTCCATGTGGCCGCCATTTTCGCTGCCAGGTAAGCGAGGAAAGGGCACGAAAACACAGCGGGCGGCCATTTTCTTTACCCGCCGGCCATTTTGGAACCGCCGATCAGCTGTTGGAAAAACATCGTTATGCAATAATCGCTAAGTGAAACAGCTTACCGATCATCGCAAAGCGATGGTTTCCCATTTAAAACATTGTTATGCGATCACTTTTGCGATCGTAAAAACTCAATCGCTATGCGGATTCGTCGTTAAATGAAGCGCTTGTTATGTGGGGCACCACTGTAATGCCTGCTATCATGTGAAATCATCTGTATGTCTTTGAGAATTTGTTCATTGTGTTACAAACTGAAGCCAACTTTAAATATCTGGGTAGCAAAACAGCTTTACCCACCGAACATTTTACTTGAAATTTTTTTTACTTTGGGCATGCAAAATGCTACTATCAGTGCTATTTTCTATTTGAAGCTATACTACCAACCACAGTGACCTCTGCTCAGTGCCAAGTTAAGTATATTTGAATTTGTTCCCTTGCTACTTTCCTGCAGTTAGTGAAAAATTCCTGTTGCAGCATGCTTTTGCTGTGACAAGTAGATGAGGCTTTATATGACAAACCACATTTAAAACCTTTTCTCTATTGATCTTTTTTTTAACATGTACCAAACCTATTTTTAGTGTTTTATTATGGATTGTAGTAGGTTGGTTGTTATAAACTGTTCTGAGTAATTCAACTACTTTAGAAGACTGGGATACTAATCTTTTAAATAAATAAATTTGTGTGGACATCCTATGCATACTTCTGTTATTTTAAAACCAAGAGAACCTTATTTCTGAATTAACACCAATACTAAACTTGGGACAATTAGGTTATCTTCTTTGCCCCCACCCCTAGTTTTTATACTAGGACCAAAACCGATTCTGCAGCTGCTAATTCTGCTTTTATAGTCCAGGAGTTCATCTTCTTGGACTACCATTGACTGTGATAGATAGGAGATTCCAGCAGTGGTTGTACAGAAGGGAAATGTTCCAAGCTGTTTTTGCCCCCACTTTGTACTGCATTCAGTATGAACACGGTGGATATTGCTTTGCTAATATCATGCTGTTGCATTCAGAAACCTTATTATATTTCCATTTCCCGATTCTAACTGTTTGGCAAAGAGGATTAATAAAGCAATTGTGTGCTGTCAAGCCATTGCTGACTTTTGGCAACCCTTCCAGAGATGTCTAGGTAGAGAATGCTCAGAGGTGGCTTACCATTCCCTTCTGCGGGCATCCTGGGACCATACAGCTTGCCCAGGGCCACATAGACTGGCTCTTCTCTCTGCAGGCATGATGGGGAATCAGACTCCAAACCTCTGATAGCTAAGCAACTGAGCTATTTAGCCCACTCAGTGGTAAATAGGATTTGGAAAGTTGAAATCATTATTGGTAAACATACATTTTTCTTGGATAAATATCCCAGAAAAATCTACATGTTACATAACTAGTGTACCAGTTTGCTGATGACCATATACCATTTAAAATTTCAACATAAGAATTCTACCATTGTCATCTAAGACTTCACTGCTTTTGACAGAACAGGGTAGACAGATTAGTTCACAAATAAAATGAGATACAGAACTGTTGTGGGCTCCATGTATTCACTGAATCAGAAGGCTGAGATAGAATGATATTCCAGGCAAATAATTCAGGTTCAAATATAGAAGAACTATATCAAGCACAATCAATGGTGTTCAAGTCTCTGGCATCCCCTGTGAATTACAGAAAAATTCAGTCTTCAGCCAGACAACTATAAAGTATTCCCGATCTGCTGCAGAGTCTGATAATGTCCTGAGGTAACTGGAATATTTAAGCACCATTCTTCAAGCCAAGTAATAAATGGGATACTTTTTCATACACTACAAATGTAATGCAGCATGCGGGAGTAACTCTGATCACGTTAGGGACAATCCCTTTGTAAAATCCATAAACTCCTTCATTCCTGTGGATAGAACAAAAATTTTTATTTTACTTATAATATCTAATCGTATATGATACAGAAAAAAAATCATCTGATTACATTTAAATGATGCTGTTTTGAATATTTTCAGTAAATTCTGCAGAATGATTGAAAAGTAATAACATGTATTATAAATGTAAAAAATGGCAATTATTCTTTCATATTGCTCATTCCTGCTACAATCCCACTTCCAAAATGTTATTTTGAAATAAAAACCTGAATTTCTGCAGAAACACCTAATTCAGAGAAGCATGAAAAAAGAGCTACAAATTGCCTGACTGATTTTAGTACAATTCTGCAATGTGAGTAGCATGGCCTTGAAAATACCAGATTATTTCTTCTCTAGTGATTTTTAATAGACATGTAACTTCTGATTTGTTCACACTGACTCCACATGTTTTCTGCTATAGCACTTTTTCTACATTAATTCATAAGGCCTCTGGCACTGGAGTTCACGGCAAACACTGCTAAACATCTATCTGTAGTGCAAATATTGCCCTACATCTATACAGAGTCTATTTCCACTCACACTAAAGCACTACAGAGTTTCATGGGATATGTGGCTTCACGAGTCAAGTCATTTCCTTCTCCATATCCACCATATTTTTTGGAAACAGGAGTACTGCATCTTTCCACTATTTCTCTGTTTACCATCCTTCCTCACCTGCTGCACAGTAACTCTGAGATCTCTCTTCTTAGAATAGGACATAAAGTGAATGGAAAGCACAGCACTTTATAATTGAATAATCATACATAAGGGCAATGCTACAGAATTTCAATGAAGGCAGACAAAAAAGGGCTCCAATGCTCATAAGACAGAGGTTATGTGATAAGGTTTGTTTATTTAAAGCATTTTAAATCCTGTTCAGCCAAAATGCCTCTCAGAATATCTTACAAACCCGACAATCCATGCTCCTAGGTTTGCAACCCAAATGACAGATAGGTAAGTAATAAGGGATAGGGAGGGATGAGGAAAAACAACAAAGTCAGACACCAATTTTTACTGCTAACTAATGCTTATAATGACCAACTAGAATGGAAACAATTCAGACTGAAGGAGGAGCAGGTCAATTGGCAGAGCCACCAGTTCCTCACTCTGTGTCTTTATTATTGCAGCAACTTCATGGGCTGCTCAGAAACAATCATATAAGCATTCTATTGAGGTAGAACGAAAAGTTTCAAGTTTTATTTCTCTGAAAATACCAAATATATAAGTGTTGGTAAAGGAAGCAATTACACATCAGCTGTAGATCCCCAGGCCTACCTCCATGTCCTACGGATGACATCAATTACGCCTGAGTATTTATTATGCTGATCCTGAAGACGTGCTCTCACAACTTGATATGGATATGTTGATGCAACTGCAAATATTTTTGACAGGGCTGCCATTGTGATATATTCTAAAGTGCTCTAAAAATAAAACAGCACCAATATTAGTTCTCAACAGTTTTGTTCTTTTTTAAAAAAGGAAACATTACAGGCTTTAATTTTTTACTCTGTTAAAATTAGTATCTATGTCATTGATATGAATTACATGTTTTGAAACTGAAAGAAATTTCTGAGACAGTAAGAAAAATACTTGTCATCAGAAAAGTGTACACTCTCTTGTGACTATACATTTTTAACAAAGTAAATATTTCTGTTTTATAGATTATCTTACCAATTTAAAATCTGATCGTCTGTTTCGATGTCTATTATATTTTGATTTCAATTCTTCATAAGCCATGAACTGAAGTGCTCCATGGGATGTTCCAAACAGACCAGGCACAAATCCCTGAAGAGATAATTTTTTAGATGGCGTAAAGTGAAAAATGTGAAAGCTAACCAACTGTCCACAGAAAACAGCTTCATGGTTATTTGTTTAAAATGCTACATTGCTGGAACACGGAGATAGTCCAAACAGCCAGTCAGAGTTTATAAACTGAAAATGAAAGAAAAACCAAACAGCATGGTCCTCTTGGTCAGTATCATGTTCACTCCTTATTGACACGGAATTCTAACTATGGAAGTTGCCACAGCAATCTAATAAGGTGCCAGTCGTACACCGGGCTGCACCTGGAACACGGAGATAGTCCAAACAGCCAGTCAGAGTTTATAAACTGAAAATGAAAGAAAAACCAAACAGCATGGTCCTCTTGGTCAGTATCGTGTTCTTACTGACACAGAATTCTAACTATGAAAGTTGCCACAGCAATCTAATAAGGTGCCAGTCGTACACCGGGGCTGTACAAGACGAGCACCTCGTCAAACTGCTGTGAGAGTGTCCATAGTTAAAAGTCTGTGTACACTAAATACTGAACAGGAGACTGGCCCATGTATTCACTGGGCAGTGAGAAGTGGTCCTGCAGATTTGTTGGGCTACAAATCTGGTACTGTATACCCCAACATCTGGAGAACCACAGGCTCATATATAAATGTTATGAATGCAAGATTTCATTTTAAGGCTCTCCCAAATCTGAAGCTACTCCATCATGTCTTCAAGTCAAGAAGTGAAAAGGTTATTTTTCATTTGGTCTACTCACAAGTAGGCTTCCCCTCCCCCCTTCTCATTAATTTCTTACTCTTTTTTAGTATTTGCTTGTTGCTAATCTATTACATAAGAACTTGTTTGAACATACTGTATTTAGATCGAAACATTCACTAAATAGAGAGGGGTATCTGTTCAAATGCAGCTTAATCAGGGGAGCTGAAACTACCTCATGATGAGAAGGGATCTTTTACATAGACGTCATCCTATTAACAGTGATCTGAGAAGCATTCTTTTAAAAAATGCCATCTATATAAATTTCTATCAGTTTCTTCCCCCAAATAACCCCATATTTGTATTTCGTTCTGATCTACCTTGTTTCCCCGAAAATAAGACCTAACGTGAAAATAAGCCCTAGTATGATTTTTCAGGATGCTTGTAATATAAACCCTACCCCCAAAATAAGCCTTAGTTAGGTGAAACCCTGCCCTCCACCATTGTGCAGCATTGTGCAGCAACCAAATGACGTAACTGTGAAATAAAACATCCCGTGAAAATAAGCCCTAATGTATTTTTTGGAGCAAAAATTAATTTAAGATCTGTCTTATTTTCAGAGAAACATGGTAAGCATTTTTTTTCCAAAATAGGATTTGTACAGTATATGACTAACATAATAAGGAAACATTAACCACATACTTGCCCTCTAATATTACTGACAAAATTATTTCTGAGTAATCATGGTCAGAATTATGGTCTTTACCATCAAGAAGCACCATTACATTCCCTATTATTATTCAGCTCAGACACATTAGTCCAAAATACTATTCTTGACGCTGCTTAGAAGATATTCCACACAAGTTTCCACAGACTCAGATATAATTCGCTCACAAGAATATTGAAACACGGGTGGACCAGTGGTGGTCAGTGGAGGAAAGGAGATGGACAACAAATACTGCTGGCAAACTTACTATTGATAAACTCTTGGAACAGCCATTCAGTCTACAGAGTGTCAGAACAATAAATCTGACAAACTTACTATCGATAAACTCTTGGAACAGCCAGTCTACAGAGTGTCAGAACAATAAATCTCTTCTACCCACACTAAAAACATTAATCTTGACTAGATATCTAATTAACTTACCTTATATAGACCACGTATACCTTCATACTTGTATATTTTTATAAGGGCATCAAGCATTCCTTTATATTGCCTCTTTGAGGAGTCAACGCCAGCTTCATATTGTAACACAAGCCTTGTCTTGGTTACCCAAATTGGGTTTGTAATACACAGCGTCATGGCTCCTATCAACAGATGGGAATTTGACAATTCTATCATTACCAGCAATGCACTATTCTAGAAACACGGCATTTCAATAGTATTCTTTCCAACACCCACACAATCTACATATATACAATATAAATGAAGTTTAAATTTACTGCACTATTTAACATTCCGGGCTATTTTTATTTTTCTTCTGCATCTTTTAAGAGCTACAGACAGGAAGTAAATTCTATTCAAGAAACAGGAAGAGGACCAGGAAAGGGGAAACACAAGGCCCTCGGTGTTGTTCTGCTGCACCACCCATAAGCCCTAAACTGCATAATCAATTAAAAAGGATGATGAGAACAGACAGCACCCTATGGGACAAACGTTCCTCATCCCCAAGGCATTCCTATGGGATGTTTGCCTAGAGCACATTCTGCCAAATGCCTGCCTTAATAGTATCAGGAGTCAATTCACTGGTGAAAAATCATCTCCTTTCCTTTTGTATGGCATCCCTCTACATTTCCTGTTCAGAAATGGATTCCCATGAGAGAAGGGAATCTGCTCTTCATGAAACACTACCCCATAAACCCTTGTGACCATGGCACTAACTGCACAGTTCTTTGGACTCTGACCTAGAAAATAAATGTATTTCAATACTTCCAGAATCTTAGATTAGAAAAATTTTATCCAATAAAGAGTGGAAACTGCACAAAATTGCACAAAGCCCAGTCATTATACTCAGCTGCAAACATTTCTCAAACAACAAACTCCAGGTTTGATCCCTGAATACACTTATCAGGGAGTTAGTTTCACTGGACATGCAAAGACTTCCTTCTCTGTGAACATGTACAAAAATGCACAGTAAAATTCAGTATATACTGAATCTATTTGGGCACTGAAGCTTATTCAAGTGTTTTAACAGTGTACTTCCCCCCTTACAATAAGTCCAGTCTTCAAGCCCTGGCCCCTCTATTATCATTTTCTTCATGTGAAATTGACTGCCTCAAAAGGAGACCTTTTAGTATACATGCAGGCTTTATAAACAAGAATGTGAAAAAACTGTGATTCTGGCTTGTGTGCAGATCATCCATGGATAGAACAGGGTGTCTTCTTCAGGTAGCTTGCTTCTGTGTTAATAATGCAATGCCGGGTTGGAACACAGTATGTGCCCCTCACTGTGCACCTTAATAGGGCTTTGACTGAGACCAAGTAGTAAGGACTAGAACTTAAATTTATAAGCAGAATATGCTACTTCTTAAAGCACATGGTTTGAGTGCAAATGGAGAAGTTAATAAGGTGAGTGTTTTCTCTATAAAGAAAGTCTTTCCACTTAATTTTTGCAATATAAAACAGATTTGCTGAACTAAATATGACCATTTGTAAGTGAAGACAGCAATAAAATGACTAAAAAAGATAAAACATACCATATGGACAGGCTAGAAGTATGTATTAATCATACTAGTATTTTTCTTACCAGCTTCAGCAGCTGACACCAGGTGTTCAGTAGCTCCAAGGCTTTCCACCTTATCCTCTGTCTTGTATGCTTTAATTGCATTGTAGCTGAAATGTTGAGGCAAGATTAACAAATCCAGATAGTGTTATTTTTAATATATATAATACATCCCACATATAAACATCCAAACAAATTAGACAGCTGTTACATACAGCACTGATGTTACCTGTCTGTCATGGGTTTGGAGGGAAAGTTCCATCCTATGGGGAGTGGAAGGCGGGACATCAGGAGGAGGGGCTGTACTGTATATATATGTGAAGCGTGTGTGGGAGATGCTGAAGGAAAGCTGAGAGAAGAAGCTTGAGTGGGAGTCTGTGTGTCAGACAGGGTACTACTGTGTGTCAGTCAGTACCAACCTGATAGGTTCAGGTGTCTGTATGGTTAGCCAGAACTGATAGGTTCAGGGTCTGTGCTTCAAGTTAAGTGTTCTGTGTGAACCAAACTGTGTGTATGTATGATTGAGACTAAGCCACGTTACTGTATCTTATCCACCTGATCATTTTATTTTTCCCTGTGTGTTATTTAATAAACCTTGTTCTTTTATTTGTTAAAAATCCATCCCGGGTCTGTGTGACTCCTTACAGGGAATGGTTGGTGGCAGCTTAGTGAAACTGTGGCATATCCCAGTAGGTCTGGGTTTGTCACAACATCTACACAAAACATACTGCCACTGAGCTACTTTAGATGTGTCAAAGGCCATTAGTAGTGTGGAAGCCATGATGGCACTGTTTTAGGACTGTTACCCTGTTTCCCAAAAATAAGACCTAACCTGAAAATTAGCCCTAGTATGATTTTTCAAGATGCTCGTAATATAAGCCCTACCCCAAAAATAAGCCCCAGTTAAGTGAAACCCTGTCCACCATGGTGCAGCAACCAGAGGAAGATGACATGACTATACCACGGTGCAGCAACCAGAAGACAACATGACTGTATTTGATAAATATAGATAGCTGTACATGAAAAAAACAAAACATCTACTGAAAATAGGCCCTAATGCGTTTTTGAAGCAACATTTAATATAAGACCCTGTCTTATTTTGGGGGAAACACGGTAGTTGGGGTGTGTGGAGGAGGTGAATTCAGCCTCCTGTCTCTCCCAATGATCCTGACAGTCAGAGTTTTTTAATACCACCGTTAATGGCGGATGAACAAATATGCAAAGAGGAGGGAGAATGGGGCAACATGACGATCATGGAGACTTCACCATTTCTGTTTGGGGATCATATGCAATCCACAAGTTGTGCATCCCTGGACAAAAAGGGTTTGCCTTATTTTTGTCTTTGAACAACATGTCAAAATGCTGCTTTTAAACATTTCTGAATTAAAAAATATATACAGTAGCCTTTTCTGACCTTGTCCTGCTTTAGACCAATGACCCAACATTTTTGGAGGGTGTCAAGCTGGATAAGGTTGGTATCAGGCATGTGGGGGTGCAACAGCCCCAAGTTCTATAGATACAGGGAACTAGGAATGCTGTTATTTAGATACTAGATCACAGTATTTATATATGTAAATTAAGACAATATTTAGGCTCTCTGGATTTTAAATGTTTGTGTTGTAGCCAATGGCTGTGCAAGAGGAAGCTCTTAGAACTAATATTTCTTGTATTCTATGACTATGTTCTACAGGGCTATAATGTCAAGGGAGGACGGGGAGGGAATTGTCCAGAATCACGCAGATGGCTCTTAGGAGGGTTATCAGGGGCTGGTGCCCCATTTTTTTAAAGAAGTCCCCCCAATCGGGGTCTTGGAAAGGAGGGGAAGAGAAAGATCAGTTGTGTGACTGACTGTCACTTGTGCAGCCCCTAGATGCAGCACTTTACAACAGTTCAGGAAGCGGAAAAGATGAATCTGTTCTTCAGGCAGTTATTATTCATATTCGTTTATATTTGCTACAAATGCACATTTAAAACTGAAGAACACGTCACAAACAGATTTGGGAAGAATATTAATGTGCTGTTAAGCACTAACATTACTTACACATTTGTTTAAATGGCATACTTCAAAGTAGTATGCAGTACAGAGAGGCCAGAGCTAAATTGAAAAAGGGTATTAGGGATGCCAAAGCTATGTAGAGTCGAAGGATTGAGCAACATCTTGAGAGCTCTGACACTTGTCGGGTATGGCATGGTCTGCGACAAATCACAGGGCAGAGTAACGAAAACTGTTTATCAGCAGTGATTTTTTGGCTGAGCATTTAAAATCAATTTTTCAGCTGTTTTGAGGTGGAAACAGGAACCATTATTCCAGCACCTACTATCTATAGTACATCACTAGAATCTACCATTGACAGACAACCACTACTACTGCAGATTTCAGATGTGAGACACGCTTTCCAAAATATTAACATTCAAAAGGCAGCTGGACCAGATGGAATAATGGGACGAGTTGTTAGGGGCTGCGCTGCAGAACTAGCTGGAGTTTTTATGGATATTTTCAATCTATCCTCGTTGCAGTGTTCTGTCCCCTAGTATGATTTTTCAAGATGCTCGTAATATAAGCCCTACCCCAAAAATAAGCCCTGAAGACATCTATTATAGTGCCAGTCCCCAAGCAGTCAGCTGTGGTATCTCTCAATGATTATAAACTGATAGCTTTAACATCGTTTATTATGAAATGTTTTGAGAGATTGGTGCTGGATTACATTAAGGCTAGTCTTCCACCTTCATTGGACCCATGGCAATCTGTATACAGGAGAAACAGATCTACTGATGATGCTATAATCTATTGTTCTCCATAATGTACTGAGTCACTTAGAACAACAGGGAACTTATGCGAAGCTGTTGTTTGTGGATTATAGCTCTGCTTTTAATACCGTTCTACCCAATAGGTAGAATTTTTAAAATGATCAACCTGGGATTACCTCAGAAGATTTGTGTGTGGGTAAAAGACTTTCTGACAGATAGGCCACAGTCAGTAAGGATGGGATCTCACCATTCTTCTACCCTCGACAGATTGGTGCTGGATTACATTAAGGCTAGTCTTCCACCTTTGTTGGACCCATGGCAATCTGTATACAGGAGAAACAGATCTACTGATGATGCTCATTAAATTTGTGGACAATACAACAGTGGTGGAGCTCATAAATAAGAACGAGTCTGCTTAAAGAAAGGAAATACAAGAGTTGATAGTGTGGTGTAAAGAAAATAATCTTACACTTAACATAAAAAAACTAAAGAACTTGATTTTTAGGAGGAAGAGAAATGTACCTTTAGCACTGTACATAAATGGCGAGGAATTGGAGAGGGTTGGTAGTTTTAAATTTCTGGGCACTTACATCTCAGAGGACCTCTCATGGACTATAAATGCCAACATGCTAGTGAAGAAGGCACAGAAGAGGCTGTATTTCCTGAGAATGCTTGGGGAGTTAAATTTATCTCAGCATTTACTTCTGCCCTACTATCGTAGCACCATTGAATGTGTCCTAACCTATGGCATTCTTGTATGGTTTGGGAGTAGCTCTATAGTGGACAAAAAAGCTCTACAGAGAACCATTAAAATTGCCCAGAATATCATTGGGCTCCAGTTATCAACCCTGGATGACATCTTCACATCCCGCTGTCTGAGGAAATCACACAACATCCTTAGAGACTTCTCCCATCCTGCTCACAAATTCTTTTGAACGGTTGCCGTCGGGCAGAAGATACAGAACAATTAAGACTCAGACCACACGTTTTCTGAATAGTTTTTATCCCAGAGCTATAATTGCACTTAATAATGAACTTAAAGACCACCAGCAGTGAACAGTTGGACAGTGTTACTTAGCCTGCAGTGCAGATGTTTGTGTTCTTATTGGGGAATTTTAGTGGGTGGGGAGTGCTTGGGGTTTTTTTTTATGTGTGGGCATGTGGGTTTGGTTTCTGGGTGTCTGTGTTAATTTTGTTGTATGTGTATACTATGTGTATACTTACAATGACAATAAATTTAAAAAAGTTAGCAGTAATGGACTGCTTGTTTTGTCACTAGTGCTGGGATAGTGTGGAAAAAATGCTCATAAAAAGCAACCTTCTAGGGCTTCAAATCAGTGTTGTCTTTATACTGAGTTTAAACATATTTTCAATACCCTTATGACCCCTAGGTGTTGACTTTAATAGGCTTTAGCTATAGGCTAGTGGACAATAATCCAATGCAAGGGCTGGTAAGCAAAAGACAAGTAAAAGCTGTCAATGATTAGTAGATTAGCACAGTGCAATCTTCATGCTTGACCCCGGGCCTTGCAGAGGTAATGGAAGATGTCCAACTTCTGTTACCAGTAACTCAAGGGATAAGACACTTATGAAACACTTGTTCATTCCATTCTTTCATTGAAGGTTATATTAGGAATCATGCTTTAATTGGCTGTTTCAACCCAAGATTTGTCAAACGAACAGCAGTTTCTAATACAGATGTTCCCAAGGCTATCCTAGACATTTTAAATGCTTTATACTCTAGAAGCCATATGACGAATGACTGAAAGTGGTGAGTTTTTGCCTGCAGAAAAAAAAACCAGTTTGACTTGTTTCTCAGCTCAGAAAAAAATTGCCTGGATAGCATCATTTTCTTTTCAGAGACAGAAATCTAAAGTCTATAGTCAGTCATATTCTGAGCTTGGCCTCAGACCAAGCTAGCCTGGGAGTTATAGTCCAAAAAAAGTATTATTTCCAAGGTATGGTCATACAACATTACAATAACTTACAACACCAATATAAACAAACTCATTTATTAGCATTTCGTAAAATATTTGCTGCATCATCCTAGGTCACTATAGTTAGCAAGTATGGACTAGTTATTTAATAGGTGTTTTAAGTACAGTAATTAGTTTTCTATTTATCTGCATAAATTTGAATTAAAAAGAAACACAAGAATTGACATTTTGAATAGACACTAGAGAACAGTTTAAGCAATTAAAACACTTACAAGTAAAAGTACAGACCCCAAGAGGCACCTGCACCCCATACATTTGGAGTCACTCCTTGGTACAGACCACGTAGTCCTTCTTGTTTCCATACAGTTGTCAAACAGTGCAAGATACCACTGTATTTTGGCCTCACTTTCAAGCCGTCACTCACTAGTCAAAACAATTGAAAATCAGTCTGTAGAAAACACATTCTAAAATGAGTTAACAATATAAATATACTACCTTGTAAACAGACCTTTCCAGGTCTGTTATTTATTACCCACTTCTGAATGCCCCCCTTTTATACTTTGTCCTTTGCCACACAGTAACCAAAATGTATTGCATCTGGAAATAGTTGCTTTCAAGTTCTATTTGGAAACTAGAATTCTTCCTTGAATAAGAATTACCCTGTAGGAGGCCCATAGAATGAATGGGCATGCAATGAGTCATCTCCATAATTTCCATTGATTCACATGGGCCTACTTTAACTGCAACCTACACAGTAAGTCACAGCTAGTGTAGGCCCATTTAAATCAGTAGAATTTGTGGAGCTGACTCACCAAATTGCCATTGCTGCATTGCTATTTATTACAACAAGCAACAGGATTTTGGCCAATGTTTGTTCCTTTCTCTAGTAAGAAACAGGCTAGTGGCTAAGCACATAAATAGAAGAAAGAAGACGGGTGACTGTTGTCATGGTTTATTTCTAACTTCCCCATATCAACAGCTCTCAAGAAAGAGCACAGTTTTTAATATACTTCTTCCATTATTTTTAAATATTTGTATGCCTACTATTTTCAGCTTTTAAATATTGTCTTTTTAATGATGTAAGCCACCTTGTGTTCTTTTTAAGGAGCAAGGCAGGACAAAATATTTTATAAATGAATGAATGGATGAATGCTTAGAAAAATCCAAAAGTCTGAACACTTAAAAACACACACAATACTTTAAAAACTCTTCAACAGTTTGACAAATCAAACAATTTACATCGCAAAAGCACAGATGGCTTGCACAAGTAAAAAGAAGCAATGAAGACAAAGTGGGGCACTTACTCCCAGGAGAAAAGGTGCAGATTACATTGCTCAAACACCCTAGATTTCTCTCAATTCCCAGGGCACTGCTTCCATTCACCCCAAAAATGTGATGCAGGGGAAAGACAAGAGAAACTTGCTAGTAGGTGGTGGCACATTGTAGAAGATGCAAAAAAAATGAATTTCAGAAATAACTGATGCAAAGAAGTCACATTCATGAGAGACACACCAAGGGGACCACAGTACAGGAGTAGGACTCATGATTTGCACATGAGAGACTCAATAATGAACAACTTATGTCTCAGGTTACATAAAAAGGGTGACTTTAAACAGCAGTGCTAGAAAAGACTTTACTCTGACATGCTTTAAAGTTGCTGCCAACCCAAGCAGAATCAGCTGAGTTAAATGGACCTGTGGTCCCCTCACTGGGAGAAAGGCAGCATATAAATGATAAGAAATAAGAAATAAAAATAAATTCCGCATTTGGTCCTGACCTGGGAGACCACTAAACCGGGAACAGGTTTTCTGCCACTGATGGTACTGACTAGATAAAAATCACACCTGGAATGAGCACAAGGCAGCCCACACGGAGGGGCTTTACCCAAAAAATTGCCCCCCCAAAGGAAAAAAAAAGCAGGTGTGGTCAAAACATCCTTAAGCCAAAGAAACGCCGGCCCAGGCACGGGGGTCGAGGGCACCCGCTTTTTACAGCCCAATTCCACGGAGTTGAGAACATCGGCAGGAAATCGAAGCGGCTTCAACTTTCCCTGCCCGGAGCGCAAAACTCTCCAAATGCTTTGGGACTACAACTCCCAGCATTCCTCTCACACACACCCCAGCCGAACCCCTGGAGGGCTAGCAGCTAACAGGCGGCTGGAGGGAGGCTTGCTGACCACTGGGCGACGTCACCACTTATGGGGTGTTGGTGGTGGTGGTGGGGTAGAAGGGGACAGGAAGAAGGGCAGAGAAGGGAGCGCCTCACCTGCGAAGCGGATCTTCACCAGGTCGAGCGGGTGCAGCACCAGCGTGGAGACAACGCCGCCGCTCAGCCCGGCCACCAGGTTCTCGTAGTGCACGTGTCTGAAGAGGGACCGGGCGGGTGGGGCGGAAGGAGTCGCGTGAGGGGTAGAAGGAGACCCCGCCAGGGCGTACGGTGGCCTCCGGGCGGCCGGAACGGTGGCGCCAGGATTCATGAGAAAGCGCCACGAGAATTGTGACTTTCAAAAAAGGACCCCCTGAGCATCTGTAGCCAATCACGTGGACGAGGCTACCCTTTACTCTCTAAAGGTACTTCCGTCCACCCATAGGTAGTCAAGTCCAGTCACTCCTACTGGCTCTTCCAATCAGGTTACAGTACCAACTGCCGTGCCCCCACGAAGGCGGGCTTAGAGTTTCCAGAGAGATTCTTGTTCACGTGATTGCGAGGCTATCCTTTTTCCTCTTCCGCCGGCAGCTGTCAATAAACTCCTGCTTTCCCTTTGACCCGGAAGTTATTGACCGGGAAGTTTTGTTTCTTTCCGTTCCATGTGGTTGAAAGCGGACCGGGTCTGTTCCCTGCTCCGGCGCCTCACAGGATGAAGGTGAAAGTGTTGAGCCGGAACCCGGACGATTATGTGCGTGAGACCAAGCAGGACCTGCAGCGCGGTGAGTGCGAGGAGGGCGATCAGTTGCACGGGAGGTTGTGTCTTTTAAAACAAAAGGGAAGCCTTTTCTTAGCAAACGAGGAGCAGGTCGTTCCAAGCCAAGTTTGTCGGGTTTAGAATACGTAATAGTAGAAGAACAAAATTGGATTGCTCTTCTACCGCGTTTTCAGTCGTTAAGGCGTGCCCGACTCTTCGTGACCCCACGGACCAGAGCACGGCAGGCCCTCCTGTCTTCCACTGCCTCTTGGTATTCGGTCAAATTCATGCTGGTAGCTTCGGTGACTCTGTCCAACCATCTCATCCTCTGTCGTCCCCTTATTTTCTTGCCTTATAATTTTCTGTTTTCCCATCTTGAGCATTACACCCTAACATCAGGGTCTTTTCCAGGGAGTCCTCTCTTCTCATGAGATGGTCTAAGTATTGGAGCTTCAGCTTCAGGATCTGTCCTTCCAGTGAGCACTTAGGGTTGATTTCCTTTAGAATTGGTCGGTTTGTTCTCCTTGCAGTCCAGGGGATTCTCAAGAGTCTCCTCCAGCACCACAATTCAAAGGCATCAATTCTTTGGCGGTCAGCCTTCTTTATGGTCCAGCTCTCACTTCCATACATCGCTACTGGTTGTTGGCAAGGTGATGTCTAGATTTCTCATTGCTTTCCTCCCAATAAGCAGGCATCTTTTAATTTCCAGTCTTGAGGCTGCATTCTCTAGCATTTTCTACTAGAAGCAACTTTCTACTACTGGGTGTGAAAACTGATCTTACTACTTGATTTTTGGTACTTCTGTCTGTTGCTGTTGCACAACCACTTTAGATGGTTTCCTCAGGCTTGTAATTGGTAGCACTAAGAAGTCTTGAGTTGCTGACTTGTTTGTGTATTTCATGTCAAGAGTATATCTGCTATACTTTGAATGTGTGTACATAAACATGTACTAGCAGAAAAATTTTAAGATGATTCAAGAAACACTGTGGCTCCCTGGAGAGAACTGGTGGAAACTTAACAGAAGGCAGTAGTCTTCCATTAACTCTGGATACAAAACATAAGACAGGCCAAACATCACTTAGAAAAATACTCTGTATTTACAGTATTTACAGTATATATGTAACCTAAACAGCTCATCTTCGGCATAACAGCTTAATATACTGTATACAATATAACATAACAGCATACAATAATTGGTTACTCACAACCCAGTATAACACAACAACATGACTGCTTTCATACCAGAGCAGCAAACTAATGCTTTCACAGAGCTTTCTTTATAAAGAGAGAAAGCCTCTGTCATCGGCAATACCTGCCTGAGGCAACTCAAGCCTCCGACTCTGCCTGTTAACCAGCAACAAGTGTATGCTTGCACTTTACATACAGTCTGTCTTACTTTTTTTACTTACATGAGTACAGTTCACATTTTAATTTACAATATAGTGACCTGCTCCATTTCAAATATTTAAACACTGTCTTTCCAATTAAAATGCTCAAATATTTTTAAGAGCCAGTTAAAAACTTGGCTCTTCAGGCAGGCCTTCCCTCCTGTCAGTACTTGACTTTATTCTTATTATAATTTTCTGTTTTCCCATCTTGAGCATTACTAACATTATTGTTTGCATTGTTTTAACTGTTTTTTAGAATGTTTAGTGGTACCTGCCTGAAGTAGACTTTGTCTAAAGGGGCGGGATAAATCTAATAAATAAATAAATAAACCGCCTGGAGTAGACTTTGTCTAAAGGGGCGGGGAAAATCTAATAAATAAATAAAAAAAATAAATAAATAAGCTCATATCTAAAGAAAAAGTGCATTCACCTCAGCATCTGGAAAGTGTGGATTGGGAGATGAAATCATTACTACTAGTACATAGAAGCTAAGAAATCATTCATATGAAAATACAGAAGTCAACAAACCAACTTAACTGATTATGCCTAAATGTTATTTTAAATCAAATTGTTCAAAATAGAAGTATCCAGTCTTTTAATTATTGTTTTAATTTTAGTTGTTGTTTTGGTTAATGTAAGGTATCCTTAAAGTTTGGGGGGTTGAGACAAAAAGTGCAACGTATAAATCCCTCAGACAAATCTTTAAACATTGGCATAGAAGCTATACTAGTAAGCAGTGATCAGACTATATCACTCTACTCGTAATGCATCCTAGGATAGAATGCTATAGTTGGCTGAATTTTTTTCTTATAAATTTACAAGAATATGGGAAATAAGTCAACATGTCTCTTTAATATTTTTCTGTAATTTGTTTCACCATTTCTGATTTGATGAACAGTTTAAGATGTCATTTTTTGTTTGTTAACCTGTACAGAGTTAGTGCCAGGTTTAATAGGACTTTCAGATAGTTGATCGCAAATACCCCACAGCACATTTGTCCTGTGTCTCCCTATGCTTTTTATCAGAATGGACGAGAACTGTGTGTGTGTATTCTCTGAGTCCTGTAGTGGGCTTTGTAGTGGGCACAAGCAGTGACCCCAACACTAACTTCTTATTCTGAATGCTTCAGAGCTCTGCTTAATCTAAATTGAGATAAGGAATTGAGAGTAACGAAGTTAGCAATGGCTGCATATAAACTCCTGCCTGTCCTAGTACTTCTGTTTTGAATTGTTGTGTCATTAAAACAAAAAACCAAAACAAAATCATGCTGAAGTTTTTTTTGAAGCATGCCCTTGTCCTTTATGGATGAGCCTGCTGATATTTACCTAGCCATCCTAGCTGATGATGCTGTGCCTGAAGCTAAAACAAATTATATTTTTAAAGGTATATGGTGATTTGGGAAAACATCTATTTTGAACAAAAGGAATCTCTTTGTGAAGAATATCTCAAATGCTTCTCTTGAACAGGATGCTATCAAGTTATCTTTAATTTTCAGTGCATAGCTCATAATGTTGATTCTAGATAGGACGAAACTTTTGTTTTCCAGGATGCGGGTAACTTGTTTGCCATTTGGCTCCCTTTTTCCTTTATGCAGCTTGGCTCTTTATCTCCCCTTGTTTATATCATATTTATCTTATTATAGTTCCACGGAATTATGATCCTGCATTGCATCCATTTGAGCTTCCCAGGGAATATACACGGGCTCTCAATGCTACAAAGTTAGAACGGATATTTGCAAAACCTTTTGTAGCATCATTAGATGGTCATAGAGATGGCGTTAACTGTATGGCGAAGCATCCAGAGAGCTTGTCTACAATTCTGTCTGGGGCATGTGATGGGGAGGTAAGTGTAATCTTTAATAATTTTTTTAGATTTGTATATAGTTTTTTATTAGGGCAATGATACCAGCAATATAAAATAACAATGTAAAACAAATTAGTTATTTAATGTGTAAGCTTTAAATTCAGACAAGTGAAAATAAAGAATGTAGTTGGATGCTAATTTGAAATGTGTTATTCCAGTGATAGTTTCTCATTTCATTTTTTTATATATATTTGACTTGCTCTTGTTGGCAAGTGGTAGGTTGATATTATCAACACCCCAGTTCCTCAGTTTTAAAAACAGACAATGATGGGCAACATTTTTCTTTCACTATGGTGTTATGCAGTAGATGCTGTAGCAGCTATCAACAAATTGTTATAACAGGCATTTAAAAACATAAAATACCTCTAATGAAGCCATAAGTAGTTTATACCCTGTTATAATCTCAGTTTGATACAAAATCAAAGACCTTTGTGAACTAATTTTAACTTGGTGCCAAACACTGTGCATATCATTGACAGATTGGCTTCCAGACAATGTACCCTCTACTTTCAGCCCTGCTGGGTGGGGCTCTGCCTCTCTCTCTCTGCTCTTGTGCACGCATGACTCCACCGCACCATGCACTGGGTTCTGTTGTGACCGGAACCTAACACAATCACTGTGCAGAGGAAGACAGCTGTGCACAGGGAGGCAGAGACGTGCATGTGTCCCCAGCTTAGCACGAACCTTGCTTCCAGATTTATAGTATCTGTAAATTTATAACCCTCTTCAATCATGCTTTAAAGCATGTGGAGTCCACACATGTTGAGAGCACCCATTCCTTCCGTTACCTTTTTAATAATGAAAAAGCAAATGTCTGAAGGAGGACTACAGTATTTTCTCCATATGAACCAGGTCCCCCAAAATTAGGATTCTGGCTCCAATGGAAAGGTTATGCAGGTATTCCTCTTTAGACATTTGCATTTCCATTTCAAAGAGATGGTGAATGGGGAATACAACATTCTTCTTCTTTTTATTCAGCTACAAACAAAAGTCTAAAATACAACACAGAAACAACCCAAACCCCCCCCCCCCCCCGGGAATACAACATTCTTCTAAATGGTTGTGGGCCCCACACACTTCAGAGTACAACAGAATAAGGTTTATGTATCCTCTCAATCTTATAAGGTTTACAGTACTGTTTTAAACATTTAAATTATGTTTTAAGTTCATTAAAAACAAGTTCTTTCCTACACTTGCATGTAATCATTAAAATACACAGGTAATAGAAACTATGAAGTTTTACTATGGTTAGCATGACTTTAAATTTAGTTACACATGGAAACATTCCTTGGATTTCAGTGAGGTGTGTTTAAGACCCTGAACTAGTATTAAAAACTCTGACCTTGTTCTAGAGCGCAGGATCTACTGATATGGGGACAGGGTGTCTTGGGTTAAGACTGCCTCAATTATTGTTCATATTTCTCTATGCATACCTTCCTTCTTCTGAAAAGTATTTGGAGAGAAGGAAAAACAGATTTGCAGCTTAAAGAAGTAATGATTCTAAACAGAGCATGAGGTGTTTTCTAACTGTAATTGAATTGATTATGGTTGGTGTTTATCTTTGTGCCTTGAAATGCATAAGGCTGCAATTCTATATACAGTAGTTACTTGGAAGAAAATATTACTGGATTCCGGTATAATTTATCTTCTAAAGAAATTTGTGAAATATTTCAGTCTAAGGATGTAAGTGAGAAGTTATAATGTGGGCCTTTCTTAGCTGGTAAATATTGGGTCAAAAGCTTCTCACTGGCTGAAATTATGTTCTTTGGGGCATGATATATCATGCTGTAGTAAATGTGTTGAGCATTAGGCCCAGGCAACAAGAACAGTGCAAGTCAGTTGTGCAGTTGCTTGCTTGGTATCCATTTTGACTGATTGTGCAGTATGCTGGCGGAACTGCTTCATGGATAGCACTGCTGCATTGGCATGATCACAAGTACTGCAGGCATAACATCAAGTTACGCCTACATAGCTGCTCAGCAGGATTTCAGCTAGTGGAAGGTCAGTCAACTCCAACCCAAGATGTAGATGTGTGAATTGCAACAGGTCAACAGCCGAATATTAAGTCACCTTTGAAGAACAAGGCAACCAAATGAATTTTTTTTGGCCAATTTACCTCTAAGCCACCTTGTACTGATGTTCAGTTGCATTTGGCACGTGCCTATTACAGTAAGTTCCTTTGAGATAACATCAGCAACTCTGATTTGGTGGACGTAGCAACCATAAAAATGTTCATAGAAATATTGAAACAATGGGCATTAGCTACTATAAAAATTATTTACTATGAATTGTCATTTGTTCTAACAGGTTAGAATTTGGAACTTAATGAAGCACACCTGCATCCGTACATTACAAGCACATGAGGGCTTTGTGAGAGGAATGTGCACCCGTTTTTGTGGTACCTCTTTCTTCACTGTAAGTGAAAGTGATAATAGGGAACAGCTGTTTTTTCCTTGTTGCATCTTGTTTTGTAAATAGTAAAACCAGGTACTACTGTTTTCTAATGTATGTCATTGAAACATATGAGTTGTCTTGGAACAATCTTTTGTTTTTACTTTTATATTTGCTTTATTCTGGAATTATACAGCAAATCCTTCTATCACATCCACTCATTGTCACAGAATAATTGAGTTGGAAGGGGCCTATAACTTTGAGTTCAACCCCTCATCTTAAATGATAAAAGTAGTTAAGATACATGTTATTAAAAAAATAACTATACTGTAGATCATCCTGTGTATTCTGCTTGCCCATTTTTATTATATTTGAGTTTCCTCCCGCTAAAATTAAGAAGTAGGGAAGGGTAATTTCTTAATTTTCTTGATACTAAGAAGTGAGCTTTTGGTGCTATTGTGGGAGCATGTTCCACTTAATGAGATTCTGAAGCAAGCACTTGAACTGACATATTCTTTGTTTGAAGACTATATATGACTGAATGCTGTGATCAGTGTTTTTAAATTTGTGTTAGTAATGCTTTTACCCAACATTTTGAATGTTTATTTATTTCTTTTAAATATTTGAATAATATACTGTTTATGGCTTTTAATATTGTGTTTTTAATGATGTCAGGCACCTTGGGTGCTTTTTTAGGATTAAGGTGACTTTGCAAGATGACTTTGCAAGGTATAATGCAAACCTTTCTACTTCCTTGGAGCATGAAGGAAAGTTGTCCAATTCCAGTCAAACAGACTGAATTGACCCAAAAATAGCTTTAGGTTCTATGTAAAAACTTGACTCCAAAGGGGGGAGGGGTTAGTTTAATTTGAGGGGTTAGTTTCCCCCCCCCCTTTTTTCCTTTCTTTTTCCCTTGTCTCTTATTTGTCTCACTTTTTTCTGTGTAAATAAAATTTAAAAAAAACTTGAATAAAACAATAAAAGATGAACCTTCAGACTTTTAGTCTGTTTGACCTGAATTGGTCAACTTTTCTTTTTACAATATATAGTTTAGATAAATAAGAACATCCCCCCCCCTTTTTTTCCTTTTTCCCTTGTCTCTTATTTGTCTCACTTTTTTCTGTGTAAATAAAATTTAAAAAAAACTTGAATAAAACAATAAAAGATGAACCTTCAGACTTTTAGTCTGTTTGACCTGAATTGGTCAACTTTTCTTTTTACAATATATAGTTTAGATAAATAAGAACATGTATCTTGTGATGCTTTTGAGGCTTATAAAATTATGTAATATGATAGTGTGTGTTTATTATTTAATAACTATTGTGCAACTTGATTCAATGTGCTATAAACAGAGGAAGGTCATATTGAGCATTTGGATGCTTCCAAGTAAGTGTGCATAAGATTTCAGCATTAGAAGAGTCATCTATTGTCATTTATGACAAAGCAATATAGTTGTTTCCCTGATTTTGTTCCATAAAAGTTATAAGAGAATTAAGTAAACATACGTATAGCAGTGGATAATATTTCTCCAGAGTTGATATTCTGTTTTTGTAAAAAAAGAAAAAGTATTGTATGTTCTTGAGGGGAGACTGTATAATGCCAATATAGCTGAGTGTTTATGTGGAAATTTAGTGTGATAGTAGATTCCTAGGCATGCTTACGTTGGCCTTCCATAAAAGATGCATAAAGTGGTTGAAGTCTTTTCTTCTTCAAACTCATTAGGTTGGTGATGATAAAACAGTGAAGCATTGGAAAATGGAAGGGCCAGCTTGCGGGGAAGCAGAAGAACCAATAAATACAATTCTTGGAAAGGTATTAGATTGTTTGTTGTGCTGCTTTCTTTTTCCTTATATATTTAAAATTCATACATGGGCATTGCTACTTCAATATTACCTGAAGCACAGGTGGCCTTGAAATGGTGATGTCAGTAGTGAAGTGGGAAGTGCTCACTTGTTTGTTTTAGTAAAAGAACCATGAGGAGATAGTAGTCAGACGTAAAGGAATTATAAATATAGTATAAATTCCAGCTGGTTAAAACAATTAAAAGAGCACACATGCACACAATATATATTATGATGTCACTAGAATAGCTACTATACTTACGTTTCAAACCGTAGATAATTGTGCATTGGTTTTATATAATGAAATTATGGATAAATGAAGTATATCAGTGTAACAGATCACAAGGCAGTAATGTAAATATTTGTGATATTTATACTGTAGATATTGACTGTAAATCTTAAAATGAGATTTGAGATATATTTGAGATATACCGTATTTTTCGCTCCATAAGACGCACCTTTCCATAAGACGCACCAAATTTTTAGGAGAAGAAAACAGGGGAAAAAATCTGCTTTCTTCTCCTAAAATTTGGTGAGCCTTATGGAGAGGTCCATCTTATGGAACACACCCTAGGGTTCTAGGGTCCTAGGGTGTGTTCCAGGACACTTTGGAGACTCCCCCTGCCCCCCCCGGGGGCCAGAGGGGGTGAAATCGCCACCTTCTGGGACTCTTCTGAAACTTCCCAAGCCTCAGAAGAGCCCCCAATGGTGGCGATTTTGCCCCCTCTGGCCCCCAGGGGAGGCAGGGTCAGTCTCCAAAGGGTCCTAGGGTGTGTTCCAGGACCCTTTGGAGACTCACCCTGCCTCCCCCGGGGGGCCAGAGGGGGCAAAATCACCACCTTTGCTCCATAAGACGCACAGGCTTTCTACCCCACTTTTTGGGGGAGAAAAAGTGCGTCTTATAGAGCGAAAAATACGGTACGCTTTAACACATATTTATTTATTTATTTATACCCCGCCCCTCTAGACAGAGTCCACTCGGGGCGGCTTACAAAGAAGAATAAAACATTATAAAATACAATCATATAAAATCATCAAAGTATATGTAAATCACATAATTATACAGTATCAGCAAATTAGAAAATCAAGATGGAAAAAAGCTAAAGAAAGAAGAAAATCAGGTGTTGACTGGAGGGAAAGATGTTTAGGATTGGAGCCTGTCACGTTTCTACAGGGTAGATATTTAGGTTAGACCAAGGTAGGTGCAAAACAGATTTTACACTGCATCAAAGGCTCCTAGAATGGGTGGCTGTCTCCTGTTGTAAAATATAAATAATTAATAATCAAGTGTTGTCAAGTTGAGTTTAACCTATGGTGAATCTTTCTAAGGCTTTCTAGGTAAATGTTTGCCACGCCGCCCCTACCCCCCCATGGGTGCAGGGGGGGGAATCGGCAGCTTCCAGGACCTTTTGAGAGGTTCTCAAAAGGTCTTGGAAGGTCGCTATTTTGCCCCCACTGGCCCTGTCGGGGGTGGGTGAGTGTCGCAGGGGTCCTGGAAGGCTCCCAAGGACCCTTGCGACACTGCCCCCCACGGGGCCAGTGGGGGCGAAGTCACCACCTTCGCTCCATAAGACGCACAGACTTTCTACCCCTCTTTTTTTTGGGGGGGGGAAGTGCGTCTTACGGTGCAAAAAATACGGTAATTAAAGAGAATATTGGCATACCAAGAATGGCATGGTTTCAGACTTTCTCATCTGGGATTGAGACTCGTCTAGGGTTGAGAGATTCATGTCTCTCACAGCTTCTGGTTCTGGGCAACAAAGAAAAAGCAAAAACAAAGTGTGCTGCTTATATATCGCCCCATAGCACTTCACGCACTCTCTGGGCGGTTTACAAGTTAATTATGCAGGCTACACATTGCCCCCCCCCCCAGCGAGCTGGATACTCATTTTACCAACCTCAGAAGGATAGAAGGCTGAGTCAACCTTGAGCTGGCTACCTGGGATTGAACCCCAGGTTGTGAGCACAGTTTTGGCTGCAGTGCAGCAGTTTAACCACTGTGCCATGAGGCTCTTAGATAACTTTATGGACAGGGGACGTGAGGCTGTTTATAACCCCCCCCCCGGATATTTTATTTACTGCTGGGCTTCTGAAACTTTGGAATTTCCTGTGCTTGAGATGATACAGTTTTTGTTCAAATCTGGCTGCTGAAGCAGACAAAACTTAGTGCCTTATGTACTGTAGGTGAAAATTTCTTCATCCAGATTGCTGCGATGGTCTTCCATAGGTTTGGTAACACTAACCTTTTAATACAACATCAGTAATTCTATTTTATCTTTATTTGTATTTTTAAAGACAGTGTACACTGGAATTGATCACCATTGGAAGGATCCTGTTTTTGCTACTTGTGGTCCTCAAGTTGATATTTGGGACGAACAGAGAACTAGTCCTTTATGTTCATTGACGTGGGGAGTTGACAGCATCAGCAGTGTTAAATTCAATCCAGTTGAGGTAAATATATTGGCACCAGCAACATGTTGTTGTTACCCGCTGTCATGTCACTTCCAACTTAGGAGCCTGATTTAAAAAATATTGAGGAGTGGCTTACCATTACTAACTCAAGAGAATTTTCATGGCTCTGTTTGGATTTGAATCCTGGTCTCCTTAAAATTAATCTGAAACTGTATCTACTATGCCACACTGGTTTTCTTAGGTCATATGAAATGCACGTAGGCATATGGGGGAAGACTTTCTCCTGTGTGGCTCCTGCAGTATGGAATAGACTCTGTTTAGTGTTGTGATCAGTTTCTGCTCTCATAGCTTTTAAGGAGGGTATAAAAACACATATTAAAAACAAACAAGCCAGGGGCCTATTGGCAGATTTAGTAGTTACCAGAGATAATTTTGATTACTTGCAAAGTAAATGCAGTGGTGCCTCGACTTAGGAATGCCCCTATTTATGACCATTTCGAGTTACAACCAGCTCTGGCCTCAAAATTTTGCTCCTACTTGCGACCAGAGCTTCCACTTACAAACAGAAAAAGGCGGGAAATTCAAATTTCTTACTGTAGGTGGCGACGAGGCCGCTTCCTTGTAGCTCTTTCGCCCCAGCAGTTAAAGAGTGTGTGTCGGAGGAGGCTTGGCACTGCCTCCTCCTGGTTCTGAGCAAGTGAGTGTGTGTGTTTGCAGGGAAGCTTTGGGCTGCCTGGTAAGGTAAGGTGTTGTTTTCTGCTTTTTAAAAACTGTTCTGGGTGTTTTTGCAGCGTGGTATTGAGCTTGGGGGGGTTATGTTTCTGTGCTGTGATGTGTCTTGGGGGTTTGTTTTTTGGTTCCCCCATTTCTGATGAGTTTTGGGGAGTTTGCTGATTTTTGGGTGGTTTCCACATTTCTGATGGGTCTTGTGGGTTTGTTGCTTTTTGGGTCTCCCCCCCATTTCCGATGGGTCCTGCATGCTTCCCTTGCTTTTTCCTTTGTTTTCTTTGCATTTCCGACCTGCCCCCTTTGTTCTCTGTGAATTTCTGATCTGCTCCGTTTTCTGTGCATTTCCAATGGGTCTTGCATGCTTGATTGCTTTTCTCCCCCCCTTCGGCCAGAAGGGATTAATAATGTTTCCAATGAGTCTTGCAGTGATTTTTTGGTGACTTTTTTTCTTTGGCCGGAACATATTAATTGCATTTCAATGCATTCCTATGGGAAATGGTGCTTCAACTTATGACCATTTCGAGTTACGTCCATCTTCTGGAACGGATTATGGTTGTAAGTCGAGGCACCACTGTAAATAAAAAGCAAAAGTACTGTTCAGTCAGGAGGAATATAAGGATGTTATGATTGATGGCTGTCATACAGAATGTGTGCAGTAATAGATTTATCTGGGACAGGTAAGTACAGGATGTGAAATTTAATCAGAAATTGGAAATGGAGAGGATGAACAGGGCCTGTGTGGTGACCTTTTGTAAACTAAGTCAAATTCTTAAAAGCCGGAAAACCCCTCTATAATTAAGAAGATTATAATCAGTGGCTGCAATTCAATAGTAAATTGCAATCCAAGTAGGCCCATTGAACCAGTGGAACTTATAGAGGAGTTAACTCACCTTAGTGATTTGTGTGTTGCCAGGATTAACCTATGCTGCACAGACCTGGACTTTATAACAGAAAAGCTCAAAGAGCAAGGGAAAATAAATCGGGTTATTCAGTGGGGAACAAAAATAGACAGTAGATATGTAAAATAATAGATAGCATCATTAAAATAGAGATGGATCGGCCACACTATGAAACAAGCAGATGAAATTTAGAAAAATGCATCAGTGGATCAGAAGAAAGAATGGAGGAATACTGCAAACTAGATGGGTTAATGATTTTACAGTAAAACATCAGCAGGATTGCCATGGATTAGTATAGCAAAAAGGCGAGGCTTGTATCCAACACTGGATGTTTGTGGGCTAATAAATGAAGAAATTTGACAGATGAATATACAAGAAATGAAAAGAGAATACTTTCTGAGGTACAAATGTTTAAAAACACAATATTTTAGATTTCCAGAATACTTTGGTATGTTTTTGAGGCACATTATGATGGGATCATTAATCTTAAAAAGAACATCTGTTTGGTATATGTGACAGAATTGTACCTACTGTGTATATTGAGGAGATTAAAAGTTCCTGTCATTACTTTCACCCACACTCAAATTAGTTCTAGAATCTCCTTGCTTTTAAAAATATTAGAATTGGGAAAATGCATCAGCTTAATCTCCACAATTGCCTTTTATAAAAGCAACAGCGAATTAAAGAACTAGCTGACATGCTGCACATGAATGCCTTTCAAATTAATGCTGTTGAAAATGTGTGGATGCTGGCTAAAACTCCTCTCATATTATGCTTGTTTTTACTTAGCACCTGCAATTTTGCATAAAGACCTTGTGGTTTATGCCTAAAAATATAAAATAATTTATCATACATATACCCTCAATTTCCAGATGTATATTTTGGGAAGCTGTGCTTCGGACAGGAGTATTGTGCTATATGATATGAGACGGTCCACTGCACTAAAGAAGGTAATGTAAAAGTTTGTGATTGAAAATGTGCGTGCACACTTGCACCTGTGTACTTGCATACTTTTTAACCTTGAGATGAAAGCTGATTAACTTTTGCTTCTAAGGATCTTCTTGGTATCCTTGTGCTGGAACCTTATTGGATATTTACACATTCAAAAATGACTACAGAAGTGTCTAGGGCTTGTTGATGAGGGGCTGGTCAAGTGCCTGCCACCTTGTCAGTTTCAATTAGCTATGAATTTATGCAATTTCCTCCTATACACATAAATATCCAATAGGATTATAGTCATAATAGTTGCACAAGCTTGAGATCTTGTGATCTAAATTTCTGGAGGATGTGTATAAAGCAAAAGATAAAGTGATCTATGAGGACGACAATGATGTTGATGATGATGATGATTGATGATGATGATGATGATGATAATTTATATTGCGCTCTATACCAGAGTGCATTCCAATAGTCAAAAACAGCTAAAATACAACCATAACATAATTACAATGATAAAAACATACAGTAAACAATTCATTGTAGGGTAGCATATGAAGATAATGGAGATATGTTTAAACACAGAATAAATACGAGACATAAAGTATTAAAATCAGTGTGGATTTTGAAAACACAGCAACAAGGACACCATCTTATTTTGCTATCTGCTGTCAAGTTGCTTTCAGCTTATGGCAGCCCTAATAGGATCTTTGAGGTATGTGAGTTGTTAAAAGGAGTGGTTTGCTATTGCCAACACTCCCCGCCCCCCGGTGAGTTTCCATAGACAAGAAGGGATTTATACCCATGTGTCCTGAGTCCATCTTGCTACTTTCTACACCACCCTGGCTGTCACCTTTCTATACACTTATGTCCTGATTTATTATATTTTGCTTACAATGTGGGCTTGTGAGCCAGATTTTAAAAAGTTACATCTGAATTGATTAGGAGTTTTTTTTACTTGAAATCTAATATTATTGTTGTTGTTGTTGTTACTCATGTGGTATGAGTTTCACATTCCAGTAGAGTAATTAGCTGTGGATTAAAATAATACATTGCTCAATGAATATTTTGCTTCTCTAGTTCAGTTAGTGATATAAGTGATGTGGCTGCCAAATAAAGATACAAGGTCATTGTGTGCAAATAGTTGTCTTGTACAATGAGAAATTAGAAGGTTCTTCAAGGTTCAGTAAAGGTGAAAAGTATTCACTGACTGAGGGTGACAGGCTTCCCTCCTTTGCTTACAATATCTCCCAGCTGTCGCTGCTATTGCTGAAGTTCCCTTTCAACTGGGATCATATAACATATGGACTGCTTAATACTTCTCAGCTAATCAGGCTTCTGCCAAGTGGGGTCTGGCTAGAGTAAGTTGTCAAGTTTTATCCCTTCGGCAGGAGGATCAGGACTGTCTCTTTACATTGCCATATGGCTCTTTTCTAGCCTTGTTACAGAATTCCTGAGCAGCAAAGCAAATTGCTGCCAATATGTTCCAAGCCCTGCATTTAACCCAATTAACATAATTTCACAATGTGCATCCTCTATTTGCGCCTACCCTAAATAGTACAGCAGCTTCCAAGCTTCTGATATTTTGAGCATAATGCAGCAGCACTAATGTAGATGATAAAAACGGAGGAGCTATTCCATACCTGAATTTTTATTTATGTGAAAGAACCATTGTGTGTATAATATTGCTTTTTATTAGAGTTGCGGTGTGTATCATGTACATACATGGGTTTTGTAGTTGTAGAGAAGCATGAATGGCAGACTTCAGAGTTGCAGGGACGATTTATTGTTTTGCTTGAATCCCAAAGGCCATCAGCCAGAACAAAATGACAAAAGGTTAAGACCTTTTTATTCTACTGAGTCCATGAGCCATGCACTGAGTTGACCTCCATGTGCAAATACACATCTACAGTATATCTCAGTTATTTTAACAGTCTGAGTTAGATCTGAAAGAGCTGTTGTTCCTCCAGAGATTTATCAGTACATTCCAATCTATTTTCTGCCCACTTTCTACAGTGATGTCAGAGTTAAATTGCACAGTAGCAGAAGTATGTGTTTCCGGCTATTACATTTTTCCTAGATATACACAGTTCTTTTAATTAAAATACAGTCATGCAGATGAACCCTGTGTTTACTTCCTGGTGGTCATTTAAAAATGAAAAACAAGCTAACTTGCAAATTCTAGAGGGAGGCAGGGTCTGTCTTGTCACTTTAGAGCAGTGTTCCTCAACCTTGGGCCTCCAGGTGTTCTTGGACCACAACTCCCAGAAGCCTTCACCACCACCTCTGCTGGCTAGGATTTCTGGGAGTTGAAGTCCAAGAACATCTAGAGCACTTGTTCTTAACCTTGGGTTACTCAGTAGCTTTGGACTGCAACTCCCAGAAGCCTTCACCACCAGCTGTCCTGACTGGGGTTTCTGGGAGTTGCAGTTCAAAAGCATCCGAGTAACAAAGGTTAAGAACCACTGATCTAGAGGCCCAAGGTTGAGGACCACTGCTTTAGAGGGTTCTGCTTCTGATGTTGTGTTCTCTGTGTCATCTAATTTGAGGCTCAGTCACCTTTGCTACAGTTTTTTTGTATGGCATCTGGGTTGTATCCTTTTTCCTGACATTTTTTCCTTACCTCGAAGTCTATTTTATTTGCTTCTCACAATTTACATTTTCTCAGGTTATCTTGGATATGAGAACAAATACACTTTGCTGGAATCCTATGGAAGCATTCATTTTCACTGCAGCCAATGAGGATTACAAGTAAGAATTACGTTGGTCTTTTTAAAAATCTTCTGTTGAGCATCCTTTAAAACAGTCAGTCTCAGTGGGCGACATATGGCCCCTTGGGGAACCCTGACACATTTGAAGAAGTCCACAAACTGGAAACAGTTCTTCACACACCACCTTATAAGGTTTGTTATGCGACTTACACTATCCTTATCTGGCCTGTATTTCTTTCATATTGTGTTTATGGCCATGGCCAAAAAAAGTTGAGAATGACTGTTTTAGAATATTTTACCCCTTTTTTCCTCTGTGCAGATCCTCAAAGTTGCATTCAATGATTCATTCATAACAAGAACAAATGAAAAATATACATTATTACAAATAATATTTTTTTTAAATCCTGTAGAATCAGGAACAAAGTTTAGTAAGCAGACTAAATGATCAATAATTATCCAGCTTTAAAGTATACATACACAAACAGGAGCACCTTTGCCTGTCCCGTAAAGACAAGAAAAGAAGAAATTGAAATTTTCTTCAAGAGGTTCTTGATAAGGAGTTTTAGGCATGAACTGTTTCAAACCTTTTAAGGTCATAACAGAATTCAGAAGAGTTGCTTTTTTGAGTGGATTAAAACTTTGATATCCACTCCATCCCCAAGCCAGCATGGCCAGTGATGGGGGATTCTACGACATAGAAAGCTGTGTTATACTGATGGAGATACTAGTCCTTACAGCCTAGTACTATCAGCTCTGACTTGCAACGACTCTCCAGAAACATTTATGGACATGAGTGTTCCTTGTTAGTCTTAGCTCTACATGATGGGGCTTGAACCTGGAGCCTTCCTCAAGTGCTGTACACCTGAGTTATAGACTTTTCCTGGCAATTTTAATCCAAACAAAACCATACTTTAAAACTCTTGAGTTAAAAACAATACAGTGGGGTGCCTCACTTAACAGGTGCCCTATTTAACGATGAATCCGTATAGCGATTAAGATTTTGTCATCGCTTTTGCGATTGCATTGCGATGTTCTTTATGGGGAAAAATCACAAAGCGATTTTTCCCCATATGCCCCCTTTTTCCCCAGTTAACTGGCGGGGGCTTGGGAAGGACTGCGGGAGAGCCCTTCCCCACGGTACTCGCAAACCCCCAGCCGGTATTTTCTCCCAGCTGACTGGTGGGAAAGCAAGCTGCGGGCCCCGAGTGGATTTTGGCTTCCCGAGCTTCACAACCCCCTTCGGTGGCCCTGTCTCCCGTCCCTGGTGCCCCTTGCCTTCTGTACCCACAGAGACAGAAGGCACAGGGCACCAGGAGACAGGGACGGAGAAGGGAGTTTTTAACTTCGGGAAGCCGAAAGCCTCCAAGGGGGAGGGGGGAACAACTCAGAATACCGGCTGCAGACGAGGAGTGGATTTCGGCTTCCTGAAGTTAGCAACTACCTTCTCCGTCGCTGTCTCCTTTCCCTGCTGCCCTGTGCCTTCTGTCCCTGTGGGAGTTGTAAAGTTCGGGAAGCCGAAATCCACTCCTCGCCTGCAGCTGGCATTCTGAGTTGTTCCCCCCTCCCCCTTGGAGGCTTTCGGCTTCCCGAAGTTAAAAACTCCCTTCTCCGTCCCTGTTTCCTTTCCCTGATGACCTGTGCCTTCTGTCCCTGTGGGAGTTGTAAAGTTCGGGAAGCCGAAATCCACTCCGTGCCGCAGCCAGCTTTCCCGCCAGTCAGCTGGGCAAAAATGCTGGCTGGGGTTTGGGACGACCGCGGGGAAGCCCTCCCTTGGGGTCCTCCCAAAGGCCCCATTTTCGCACAGCTGATCGGCTGTTCCAAAGTGGCCACCCACTTGTTGCCTCGCTTTAGAGGCACCGAAAATGGCTGCCCCTATGGAGGATTTTTGCATAAGGTGAGTTTTTAAGCCCATAGGAATGCATTAAACGCACAAGGACGAGGTCTTCATTGGCATGTGGATAACTGGACATGCTTTTGAATCCTGCTCTCTGTTAACTATTGTCTTTTCCATATCCATAAATCTTTGCATATTTTTCCTTTTAGTTCCTTGCATATTTTTAGAGCTAGGAAGAGTTACATTTTTCTTCTGCAAAACATGCTGGCTGGTAGGACTCTCAAGTAACTTTCCCAAGATACCATTGCATTCTGTAAAGATAGATCCTATGTTTATTAAATCACATGCATTTTCTTTTTAGCCTAATAGTTTTTGATGACTGTAAAAATGAACAGCCTAAGGAATTTTATCTGGCCTGTACCTGTTGGCACTAACGAGGCTTTTATTGTCACAGGTCAATCAAAAACTGGTTAAATCAGAATACTTGGATTTAAGATGATTTGGCTTGCGATCTGTAATCCACCCACTGCAAAGTGTCTTCGAAGTAATGAGAGTTAGCTTTCCTATAATGCACTATTTAAAAGGCAACTGTGTTTCACAGAGAAATGGCACTTGATTAACCTGGAAGGGGTGAAGCTGTAAATTGCCTTAAATCCATGTATGCTTACAATGATGTTTACACCTTGGTGTAGAGTTGTTTGTCATAGTTGCTTTTCAAGATGCCTGTTTCAATTATTCTTTTCATTTCTTGAATTAGATCAGCTGATTTTAGTTGTACAGTATAAATGGTTTTGAGCTCTTAAGATTTCAATTATATGACTGCAAGTGAAAATATGATTGAAATTTACTTGATTATACTGGACTTTAACCAGCTGTGAATTTTATTTATTTGTCACAGTACTTGATTATACTGGAATTTAACCAGCTGTGAATTTTATTTATTTGTTTGTTTGTTTGTTATATTTATATCCCGTCTATCTAGTCATTGACTACTCTGGGCGGCTGAACCTCCTTTTACTACAGTATGTCAGCAGTCAAATACGTAATTAAGAGTAATGTTTTTTTCTTCATTTGCAGCTTGTATACTTTTGATATGAGATTTCTTGACAAGCCCTTAATGGTTCATATGGATCATGTGTCTGCAGTTCTTGATGTTGATTACTCCCCTACTGGAAAAGAATTTGTTTCTGCAAGCTTTGATAAATCTATTCGCATTTTTCCTGTAGACAAAAGTCATAGCAGGTCAGTGTTACTATAGTTCAGTCTCTTGAGTCTCTTCTTTTTTTGCCACCAATTTTTATGATGCCATTAATTTATTAACCTGTTGATTCCCTTGCAAAACTTACATTTATTCCTAGCATACTTGCTTGCATTTCTTAAAAATTTTGGCTGTAGAATTTGCAGATGGGCAGCCCATTAGTTCTTTGTTTCTTTGTTTGTTCTCTGTATTTCAACACACAAATTGAAATCTCATTTTTCTAGACCTTTTCCATGCTTCAGTTGATATCTCTACTATTAAATTGTGCTTGCTGTTGATAGAATTCAAAGAATTGTGTCATCTTTGTCAGATGTCTTGTGTTCCCGCTGTGGACTTTCTGTTTTTGGAAATCTGTTGTGTATCATAAAAGAATGCTGCTCAAGAAACAACTTGTATATATCAAGTCAGAAAGTCTGACACTTTAAATGCCCCATGGAACTTCATAGACCTTAATAACCCAGAAGTTAAGGTCTCTGGCTGTGGTGTCAGAGGATGGGGGTTTGATTCCCCACTGGGCCTCCTTGACAGGGGCTGGACTTCATGATCCAAAGGGCCCCTTCCTGCTCTGCAGTTCTACTTTATTTTATGTATATATTTCATTTTTATATTGCTCATCTGTCTGAGGCCACTTTGGGCGATTTACAGCATATAAATACTACCAAGTATTTCTAAGATGGTGGTGGTGATGATGGAAAATCAGAAGCCTGTGTTCATCACAGTAGGCATTTATTCGAGAAAGAATCACACCCAGTATGAATCTAATTGTACCTGGTACATTTATTCTGTTCTTTTGAGTATTCTTTGTTTGTTGTAGATCTTTTGGGCTTCCGATTCGGCCATGTTCTGAAGGTTTTTCTTCCTAACGTTTCACTAGTCTCTGTGGCCGGCATCTTCAGAGGACAGGAGTCAGAACTCTGTCTGTGCTCTGGTGCACTTTGTTGGATAGTTGAGTATTTATAGCTGTGGGATCAGCTTTTTGTCCTTCCAGGAGATTGGTTGATTATGATGATCAGCGTGTTTTTTGTTGTGGGTGTATTGTTGTGATAAGGGGGAGAGAAGATCTGTCACTGTGATTGATAGGTATCATTAGCTGATCTTTTGTATGCACTGATCACCCGGTCCTTGTGACTGGATAGAGTTGGTTGACCTTTTACAGGCTGTGTGGACTCAACAAAGCCTGGCTCCCAGCACTGAAAAATACAGATGTGACTTCTGTCCTCTGAAGATGCTGGCCACAGAAACGTTAAGGGAAAAAAACACATTCAGAACACGGCCAAAAAGCCCAGCTGTGAAAGCCTTCGAGAATACATTCTTTAAGTTCTTATCCACAAAGCAGATAAGCTGCATATCAAGAAAAATCTCTATTTTTTCTTCCTTTTATTGAACAAGCATATTCAAGCACATTGTATGTTTATAATATTGTTCTATGTCTATTGTAACTACAACAATATGCAACTTAGTTATTATGCTTTTACCTAAAGTATTAAAAATACTTAACAGAAGTATTATAAAAATATAATAACAAAGCTAAAAATATAACACTCAATTAAGTCGCAACTGTGTCAGTATCTTAATAGGCCAAAGCACATGCAATTACATATTTATTTATGTAAAATATTTTTAGCCCACCTTTCTCCTTAAAAAGGACCCAAGGTGGCTTTCAGCGTCAGCAATTAAAAGACAGTATTTAAGTTAGTAACAATGAGTATATAATACTAAAAGGATCAATGAATACAATACATAAAAACCATAAGCAACATCAAAGCACATTCAGTGCAGTAAAATACAACAATTTGTTTTAAAAACCAAACTCAGCTGCCATTCACTCAGGGAAAGCTTGCCTGAAGAGAAAGCTCTTTGCCTGCCTACAGAACGACAGTAAAGATGGAGCCAGTCTAGTATCTTGTGGGAGGGAGTTCCAGATTCTGGGAGCAGCAATGGAGCAGGTCCTCTCCCATGTTCCCACGAAGTGCACCTGTGAAGGTGTCAAGACAAAGAGGAAGACCTCTCTTGAAGATCTTAACACTGAAGCAGGATCATTGAGGGAGATACGGTGCTTGAGATAGCTTGGGGCCCGGCTGTTTAGGGCTTTATAGGTTAGAACCATTACTTCGAATTCTGCCTGGAAATGGATTGACAGCCAGTAGAGCTGCTGTTACAGTGGTGTTATGTAATCCCTGTGTCCAGCCCCAGTTAGCACAAGGCAACTTTCTGTGTTGTAAGTAAAATGGCAGAAATGCTGTATAAAGTAGCTGAGTTCCATAATACTACCGTGTTTTCCCGAAAATAAGACAGGTTCTTATATTAATTTTTGCTCCAAAAAACACATTAGGGCTTATTTTCAGGGGATGTTTTATTTCTCAGTTATGTCATCTTCTGGTTGCTGCAGAATGCTGCACAATGGTGAAGGGCGGGGTTTCACTTTAAGGCTTGTTTTGAGGGTAGGGTTTATATTACGAGCATCCTGAAAAACCATACTAGGGTTTACTTTCAAGTTAGGTTTTAGTTTTGGGGAAACAGGGCATTTTATCTCTTAACAGTTCAAAATAATTATTTGTAAGTAAGTTGGTGTCTGAGGATCTCTGTTTGGCTCGTTGACAGTACGACTTTAAAAATACGAGGCTTGCATATAAACAATGTAAAACACTTATTTACTACAGTCTTTACTTTTGAGATTATTGCTTTAATCAAATAGTTTTCATCATCATCCCAAGGACTTGGAAGCCATGGCTTATTTTATGTTGCTAATTAAATCTTGAATCTGAAACATGAGAAGACAGAAGAAATGAGAGATACTCCATTAAAGTTCATGAAAGGCCTTTGGCAAAGGAGAGCCAGATGTTTGTGTGATTAAAAAAAAGATCCACATTATTCACCCATATGTTGTTGTATTGCTCTTATTCTCAAATAGCAATTCTTTTTTCAAAACCTGTTAAAAGAGGAAAAGATATTATTTCTAAAGAAATACTGAAAGATTAGAAGAAAGAAACATCTAGGCTTGTATAAAATTATTTTCTCTTCATGGACACATACGTAGAAAGAATATGCTAAAATTGTATTTGAAGAAGTTGGCACCAATAACGTTACTATATGTAGTTGTTGTTTTTTTCCTTGTGAGAATGTAAGAAGTATTATTAGAGATGCCATGCCCTTTAATGTCAGGATAGCATTAAGAGTGCACACTAAAAGACTGATTTGACTGTGGGCACCGTCAGCCTTTTTGAGCAAGTGGCTGTATTTAGAATTCTGAAATATTACAAAATGGCTGCAATGGAAATATGTCCTTTTTATAAGCTGGCTGTCATGCTGGATGTGAGCAGTCATGGAACATCCATTTCACAGAAAACAAACTGGTGAAATTGACAGACAAGTAACTTGAACTAGGTAGAAGACAGAGATACAATTTGAGCAAAACCCAAGGTTGGTGCTTTAAAACCATAGTTTTCCATTCTGACAGAATATACATTTCATGGATTAAAAGTCATATTTTCCAAATTGCTCTTAAATAAATTTTCCCAAAATTAATTTATGCCCACAGATCAATAGGAGGAACACTCCTAAAAGAGTCCCTGGTTAGCTTGTCCTGATAATTGCCTGCTTCAGGTTAATAAGCAACAGGATATACTTAGAATTAGTTATTTGTCCATCATTAATGATTTTGAAAATATATTATTTTATCCACATAAAGTTGATAATGTTATCAGCAGAGGTGATTCTTCAGAAGATTTTCTGCTTTTATCCCAAAGCTTCCAGATGAGAAACGGGCCATGGGAGCTACACAACAAAAGAAAATATTTGATTTCTTAAGAATCACCCCTGCTGATACCTTTAGTAGGTGTGGGTGTAATTATGGAACAGGATTTCAGCCCATAATGCTAAGAAAAACAGTTGAAATTAGGAAAAAAGGGGGGAAAAGAAACATGAGATGGATTAACTCAGTAAAAGACGACTCTAGCTTTGACTTTGCCAGACTTGAGCCGGGCTGTTGAAAGGAAGACCTTCAGTTTTATGCTTAAGTAGGAAGTGACTTGACAGCAGAAAACAACAACAGTGACCTCACTTGAGGAAGGAGTTCAACAAATGGCTGAATAAAAGCTTTTGGCACTTTATGTCTCAGTACTAATTTCTCTGAGTAGGTAGTGTTATATATTAATAATTTCACAATGTTTGCTGCAAACATGAAAAAGAAGATTCAATTAAAATGAAAGGAAAGTCCAATAAGTATGTTCTTGTTTGGTGTTTTCTCATTTTTATTTGGCTTTAGAGAGGTCTACCATACAAAGCGGATGCAGCATGTGATCACTGTAAAATGGACATCTGATAATAAATATATCTTGTGTGGTTCTGATGAAATGAACATTCGTCTATGGAAAGCTAATGCTTCTGAAAAACTTGGTGTGGTAAGTAATCTTGGGCAAGCAATGAAATTATGCTTTGCATATCAGAAAAGGGTGTGATTTACTTTAAAAATATTAATACTTCATTAGAGATAACCCTGAAAATAAATTGTTAATAATAATCACTCTGCCATTAATATATTAATTTTCTTTCATAGAAAACATTTTTACTAATAATAAACAACTAAATCAATATGATCCTTCTTCCTTTGGCCCTGACATAATGTTCAGAAGTTCTTGTTTTTGTTTTACATTGACTGCAGTTAGCTGTTTGTTCTGATACTAACAAAATGTTAGTTTTTACTAAAGAAAGTAGAAATAAGCCAGTTTCAAACCGTGGTTTATGTAGCTGGCTAGTTTTTATCCACAGTAGTGAAGTTGAACCACAATTTAGGATTTGGATGTAATGCTTAACTGAGGTCAATGTAAAACTGCAGGGGAAGCTTCCAGTTTCTTTGTAGCTACACAGAAGGAAAAGAGGAGAGCACAGAAAGTTGAGGTTCACAGACACTCATTCTTGTTGCACCAGTGTGAACAAAGCTAGTATATACTGAATTGAATTTTCGCTTTCTTTGTATTACTGTGACTGTAGCTTTTGAGATAGGTGCCTCAGATTAGCAGAATACTGTATTGTAGTATAAAGATGTTGTCCTTTTTCGGCCATGGCCATAAATACAATATGAAAGAGATGTAGATCGAATCAGGATTGTATAAGTCACATAATAAACCTTATAATGTGGTGTGCGAAGAATTGTTTCAAGTCTCACAATCACATCCAAATACAGTAGTGCCTCGCAAAACGAGCGCTCTGTTTTATGACGAAATCGCATTACGATGAAGTTTTTGCGATCACAAAAGTGATAGCAAAATGATGTTTCCTATGGGGGAATTTCATTTTGCGATGATCTGTTCCCTGCTTCGGGAACTGATTCTCGCAAAACGACGATTTTCCTACAGCTGATCGGCGGTTTCAAAATGGCTGCCGGGTTAAAAAAAAGGCTCCCCGCTCTTTTCTGGGACGGATTCCTCGCTGCACGGGCAGTGAAAATGGCCGCACTATGGACCATCTTCACTGGACGGTGAGTTTCAAGCCCATAGGAACGCATTAATCGGGTTTTAATGAGTTTCTATGGGCTTTTTAATTTCGCTTTACGATGTTTTCGTTCTACAGCGATTTCGCTGGAACGAATTAACATCATAATGCGAGGCACCACTGTATTTTCCTATGTTGACCAATATTAGCCATGTCAGCAGACAGATATGAGAATTTTCCTTGCTTGGTTGGCTCAAATAAAAGGAAAAGCCTCTATTTGTGGAAACCTTTAGCTCAGTACTGTAAAATATCCAGCTTCTAAAGGACAAAGTACAGCCAGATGTTGTTGGAATGCATTTCTCTGCTTTCCTCACACCATTGGCTATTCAAACTAGGGCTAATAGCAGTTACAGCTGAAAAACATCTGGAGGGCTGCACTTTGCTCACCCTTTCAAAAAGGAAGAGTACACAAGAGTCTTTTAAATAGAAAGTGTTGTATAGACTAGATTTAATACATGTATACAGTATATCACTAAGAGCTTTCAGTAAAAATATCCCCATCATTACAGAATTCTTTTTTGTCAAGTATTCTCCTGTAGAATTTAACTTTACATTTTGATTCAGACTTAAATACTCTGCTTAGATTGTAGCTTCCACAGCTGATGAATATTTGTTTGACTGGTAGGCTCCATGTTGACACTGGAGCTGCCCAAATATTCATCAGTTCTGACATTCATGTTTCTTTTGCTGCTTTAATGTTCTTGGCATTGCACTCATTACGTAAAATCACTGGACGGCTCCCGCAAGAACAGCATCTCTGCAGCAGCCAGAGGCGTTTACCCTGTCTATACTCCACTGATGATTAAGCTTATGATATTCTGAGTAATCGTTGTAGAGATAAATGAAGTCTACTTACAGCCACCAGAGTACTGAGATCGATGTTGTTACTCTGACACTTTCTAAAACATTTCTTCTCTCTGCTTGCCTCCACAAAATTACAAAATTTGTAAAAATGATTATATTTTTAAATTGCAAAACTTGGGAATGGTGCTTTTATTCATATACATTGCATTACATCATTAGTTTTGACAGGAGTAACTTTTTGAGCCCATAAGACTTATTTAGTGTTGACTGAAGCAACACTGTTTGAAATGGTTGAAAAAATCATGTGGGGTCCCTGTACAACTTTAGGTTATGCAGTACAGTATTGTAACCTTATGTACCAGTCATCATGAAGCAAGTAGGACCTGCAATATAAAGTTACTGTATGGCCAGGTGTTGTTCAGGATACTCCATTCTGTTTCTCTTCCCACTGTTTTCCATGCCCTTCCCCAGATAGTGAGTCAGCGTTCCATACCTGCTAAGCATGCTCTCTTGTCATTGAGCCATTTGAGTTCTAATTCCACATCTAGGATTTTTAAAAGATAAATATATTTACTGTGAGCTTGCTGATACTACCTTCCTGTTCCTGGATGCTCTTTTGGCTATCTATGGATTAACACTTGGAGAACTAAGATTGGTATTAATGTTATTTATTTATAATATTTCTACACCATCTGACTTAGTGAAAACTACAACTCTGGATAGTTTACACAAGAAGCATAAAAATGTAAAATATTAATCCCATCAACCCCAACCTTGTAACAAGTAGAGAACAGAACCAAATCTTTAAAACAAAACCCCAGTAATCAGAATTCTAAATACATAATAATACAGTGGGTTACCTTTATCTTGAAAAAGATTGTGCTAGTAATAGTTTTAGATCAGGGATCTCTCTCTCTTTAGCTATTAGGATATCTTGCCAAGCATAGAACAGACTTCAATTGATACAGTGGTTAGCTGTTACAGTACTTGGTAGCTCAATTTAACCAGAAGGCTAGTATGAGTTGGTTAACTTTTATTTTGAGGCTGAACTTCTTAGAGACTTGTAACTGATGTTTTCAGCACCTCATTGTTCTCTTTCCTTCATCTTTCCACTTCCCAAAAAGTTGATGGCTCAGAATTGTAGAGTTTGTTTGATGACCCTCCCTTTACCATGTTCTCAGTTACTTGTCTATATAGTACATGTTTAAGACTCAAAAACCAAACCAAACAAAACCTGGCCTTCTCTATTTCTGACATCAGTGTGGGCTTAATATCTACATAACAGAGTACATCTATACCAGTGTGTATTACATGAGGGCTCTGTGTCATATGAATACCAATACAGTTTTTGGCAAAACCTGTACTCTACTGTCAAATACCAGCATGTGAAAATAAATTATTTTAAAGAGATTCTGCTGATTTTTCTATGGGTAGGCTAGATTCTAAACATTCAGACTGTCCCTTGGCTATGCTACTTTTTCCTCTTATTTTAAACTCACCTTCAGTTATGCACTGCAATTACTTTTCCAGATTATTGCAGACGATCCAGAAGTGTGCTTGGAAATGTACAATATTGGTTTTTGTCTGCATAAGCATAAGGTTGTGTCAGCTACTGTTTTTAAAAGTAATTGCCTTTAATTAAAATGAAAGCCTTTTAATTTAGATTGCATTGACAATTTGCTCGGCAGCAATGCCTGGAAAGTACTGCTGACTATACAGACTGGCTGTCTTGGTAAAACAAGCAAGGAAAAGATATCCTTTTTAATGTAAGGAGTACTATGTAGCTTTCCTGTAATTGTCTGGAATCCTGTTACTTAGCGTAGTGAATCACACTCCAATAGGCCTGCTGAATCAGTGGGGTTTGGTGACTTTATAAGTTTCACTGATTCAAATACACCTAAGCAAGAGGATTTCAGCCAATGTTGAAACACAGGTAAGTTTGTTTTGTTTGAGTGCTGAAACTATGCCAGATGGACATTTAGGCATGTATGTAGGTATGTCTTAACAGCAGACCCTCTGTATCCATGGAATTGGTATCCGTGGTTTCGATTATCTATGTTTGCCACTGCTGTCACCCAGTCTGCAATGCACATGTGTATTTACCTTGTATTTGCAGTTGATCCTGGAACCGATCAACCATGGATACAGAGGGGACTACTGTATACAGTATGCTTTTCAAGCTTGAAAATGTTTTTCTCCATGTGCTTATCTTAATGAAATCAACAGGAGTTCAGCAGGTGTTTAAGGAATTAGTGTTTTCATTTTAAAAGATAATTGTTTAACTAATATAAAATTGTTAAATTATATAATAATATAAATTTAGAATTTATTCAAATACTTTCTATTCAAGAACTTTCAGCAAAGGTATACAGGAAGAAAGAGAATTGCACTTGCATATTTAGTTAGCCATGAAATATGCCTACTTGTTTTATAGGGTAATTCATAATTACTCCTATTCTAAAATCCTGGCATAACATTTGTATTAAATAGTAAAAAATTAAAAGCAAAGAATTGGCGAATAGGCAAGTAGCAACTATTTTTCAAAATACAGTACTCAAGCTTAAAATAGTAATATGAAAGTCCTTATACCAACTTTTCTTGGGCCTTATATATTTAGGAATGGATCCAAAAGGTCGTTCTTCACAGCTAAGACATTTTTGTGGTGACAGGTCAATTTTGAACCATTTCCTGTGTTCCCCTTCAGCTTCCTGCACCACACTTCAGAGCGAACACAGTTCTCTAGAGCAGATTTTCAAGGGGGGACAATAGCCAAAAGCATCTTCCCTCCCTTTACTTAGCAAGTTACCAGACTGACCCAATACATGTGAGTTGTGTTGTTACCTAATGAGAAATCCAAATTAGAGGGATTTAGGTTTGTTTTCTTATACTTGCATGGTGTGGGTTTGCATATTTTCACTGATAGTTCTCAGGTACTGGCCTCATTCCTTGATAACTCACATCTAAAGTCCAGTCAACCATACCTTGTTGGTTATTACACGTTTCTTGAACTATGGTTTACTTCATATAGTGAAGGAATATATATGATTCTTCATATAGTTTAGGAATATAGTGTTGTTGATCCCCTTGCACAATCTTAAAACCAGGATTTCTTTTCTTAGCTTGCTCCTCGAGAGAAAGCAGCTCTGAACTACAATCAAAAATTGAAAGAAAAATTCCAGCATCACCCCCAGATCAGGCGTATAAGTCGCCATCGGCACTTGCCAAAGATTATCCACAGCCAGGCCAAGGAGCTACGCATTATGAGGGAAGCTCGTCGGCGAAAGTATGCTTTTTTTCATTTTGGTTGTATAAATTGCACACTGTGTACAGCCCTGTGTTCTTTTAGTCAGCTGCATGACTAGATAGTTGTAGAGGAAATGTAGTAATGTGAAGAGCAGCTCAGGGTGAAATAAGCTATCTAAGCATGATGTATTTTTCTCCATTGAGGTTTATCTCCTCCCTTACCATTCTGGACAGTGATTTGTTGAGAAGTTTTATTTATTGACTATCTTTCCAATGGCAGCAAGTTTGACAAAGTGTAACACATTGGGTTTTTTCCAAACTTGTCTCTGTAATAATATTTAATTGCTGAATTAAGCAACTGGATTGCCTGAGTCATTATTATAGAAAAGACAGGCCAAATTGGGGGCATTGACTTTTTTTGTTCAGTGGCTAGGAAGAAGGAAAGGAGTCATCTTGCATTCTGTAGATCTGCATAGTCCACAGAAGACAGTAAGAGACAACTAAATCTGTTCTTTGTTCTTCAGATTCTATTTTTTATATATCATGGGATTATTTAGAAGTAGTGGAATTAGTCAATTCATTGTTAATTTCCTTTATATGTAATAAAAATATTTTTAATGTTTCTCATTCTAGGGAACTGAATCGCCAGAAACATAGCAAGCCTGGATCTGTAGAAGTTGTGTCAGAGAAGAAAAAACATGTTGTGGCTATAGTGGAGTAATACTTCAACCAGATGTACTGTTTGAATACTTAAGGACAATGTGTACATTCTCTCATTGCAAAATCAGATTCCAGTACTGTATTTCTTTAAAAGTTGTATCTTCATTTGTCAATGTGAAAAAAAATCAGTTTCTATAAATAAATGTATTATATGGAACAACTGTTGTAATCAAGGTTGGCTATTGCTATCATTGGGACTAATTTTTTTTACCTTGAGTAGCATTGAGTAGCTGAAACAGCGACGTCTACGCTGGCTTGGGCACGTTGTGAGAATGGCTGATGGTCGGATTCCAAAGGATCTCCTATATGGAGAATTAGTGCAGGGAAATCGCCCCAGAGGGAGACCACAGCTGTGATACAAGGATATCTGCAAGCGGGATCTGAAGGCCTTAGGAATAGACCTCAACAGATGGGAAACTCTGACATCTGATCGTTCAGCCTGGAGGCAGGCAGTGCATCACGGCCTCTCCCAATTTGAAGAGACCCTTGTCCAGCAGGCTGAGGCAAAGAGGAAGTCACAAAGGAAGCAAAACCAGGGAGCTGGACAGGGGACAGATTGGATTTGTCTCCAGTGTGGAAGGGATTGTCACTCTCGAATTGGCCTCCTCAGCCACACCAGACGCTGTTCCAAGTCCTCCATACAGAGCACGCTACCATAGTCTTTCGAGACTGAAGGATGCCTACTACCATTCTTTATACATTTTATATCATCTGAAGAAGACACACTAGTGCTAGATGAACTACCTGAGGATTTGACGGGTGCTGTCTTTCCTGAAAAAAATTGTTGATAACAAACTTGAAATTATAGTTTGTCAGTGAGAGTAAATTCTTGGAAGTGGCTAGCATACTAATTTATTAATCATTTTCAAAGGCTGATACAACTACAGCAACTTTCTTTTCATTGAGTTCTGTATTCTTATCTAAAACATGCTTTTGGGAAGTGAGGAGAATGAGGGAGAAACTTGTATGTTGTCTTAAATAAAGAAAAGATCTAGGATTAGAGATGGGCATGAGTCACAGGTTTGTCTTGAAAAAAATTGTTGATAACAAACTTGAAATTATAGTTTGTCAGTGAGAGTAAATTCTTGGAAGTGGCTAGCATACTAATTTATTAATCATTTTCAAAGGCTGATACAACTACAGCAACTTTCTTTTCATTGAGTTCTGTATTCTTATCTAAAACATGCTTTTGGGAAGTGAGGAGAATGAGGGAGAAACTTGTATGTTGTCTTAAATAATCAAAGAAAAGATCTAGGACTAGAGATGGGCATGAGTCACAGGTTTGTCTGTGCCCATTCATTTATCGCCATTTCTGAGCACTGCCTCCCCCGGCAGGTAGCCACTCAGAGGCAGTGCCCCAGATTCTCTGCTCTGCCTCCTCTGGGTACTGCCTTTGAGTGGGTGCCCACCAGAGGAGGCAGGGCTCAAGTGCTGAACACCCATTCGGGCAATAAATGAACCAGCAGTTCATGGTCACCTATACCTGGGACATTTTGGGCACGTCTGAACTTGTTTACGGTATACTACTTTTCATCACAACTGACTAGAAAATTATCTTCTGAACCTACATGTAAGTCACTTTAAGCAACCACATTATAAGAAACCAAGGGCATTAAACTAGTGGCTTTTTATAAGTAGGGTATGAAAGAATCCATGATATTATTCAGTTCTTGTGAGCTTTAGATTAGTGTTTTACATCAATAGGTCCTATGCATGTTTACTCAGAGGTAACTCTACTGAGTTTAGTGGGCCTTACAAATAAGCATGGATAAAATTGCATCTTCATGGAGCTTAATAATGGCTTCTCAGTTGCAGATGTTAAATTCTGAGAATGTGGGATAAAGAATTTAGTTAAATCACTTTGCAGAATCAAACTCTCATTTTTTTCTGCTCGATTCTTTGCTTGGAATGACAGTATATTGTTTCACTCTAGAGTATGGCGTATATTATTTCAAATCCTGTGAAACTGGTTGAAAACATTACATTCATATGTTCAGTAGACTGCACACAGTAGGGCAACAGACCTCCTTACTTGCAAGGTGTGATTTGAGAACAATAGTAAGTAGCTAATGGAGAAAATCTGAAAGTATTCTTGTGGAAAAATAGCTGTGTAGTAGAAAATAAGTTTTGCTAGCTACTTCAGGAAATATCTGGGAACACTGCTCATGGATCTTCCTTGAAATACTGTAATGGACAATAATCTCCATTAGCACTCTTCCATTGGAGTAATTCAGTAAGCACTCTTGAGAGATTACTATATCAGAACTGGCCTCATATTCTTACTTGGTCAAGAGATAATGATTCATCTACAGGAAGGTGCCCTTGAAGATTTGCTGCCAGTCAGTGAAGACTATACTATACTAAGTAGACGACTAATATCCTGCCCTCCTTTTGATTTCTAAGAAACATATGCTCCCCACCTCTACTTTCATTTCAATCCCTAAACTTTACTAATTTGATAATGACATAATTCAACATTTAGCTCCTAAATGTACCAAAATTATAGCAGAAATACATGTTCTTGTAACAAGTAGAGATGGGGGTATTTGTATGGAAATACAAATACCCCTGCACAGCTGGAGTTGATGAGGGTCTGGCTGGACTGTCCACTGGGGCTGGACTGTCCACTCACACAGCCGGTGGCGACAGCCCGGTTTTTCCTTCCAGTCGCTCCAGAGCACTGCTCAGCAAGCCACTCATTGGCCTTGCAGGGAGACTTGTCTTCCCTCCTTCTGCCCAGGAGAGGCTAGCCAACCAAGCACTCCAGAGCGGTTTGAAGGAAGACCGGCGGCGGCAGACGCATGAGTGGACGTTAACTCCAGCTGTGTGGGGGTATTCACACATATATGAATACCCTCATCTCTAGTAACAAGACATTAATAAAACTGCAATTTCAGGAAAGTAGAAAAAAAGGAATTTAATGTGTGATGACACATTTTCTTCACAAGATGGAAAATCCTAGGTGTATAAGATAAAAGTTAAAAACATAAATATTTCCCCACATATACTCATATTCACTGAACTTCAGAAAGTATAAGCAACAGGGACATCTCTCAGAGTCAAAGCATACTGAACGTTGTTTATTTGTTTAAATTGTATCTCACATTTCTCCCAACTGAAAGGGAGTTTTGAAAATACAGCCTCTTCCCACACCTAAAGTGATTGTAATTCTGCCACTTGGTCAAATCCATTATTTCTTGCTTTTAATGTAAGACAATAATCCATAAAGCTTGCTGTTCTGAGGCACAAGGAAAGAACTTCACTAATTGGCTAGTGGGAAAGGAGATAATCTCTTTTAGATCCTAAGAGCCTCCCTCCCACTGATGCCCAGTTTACAAAGCATGCAAGATTTTTAATCCACAATATTTACAACTAGAGCAAGCTGATCCAGCACCACACAAAAGACATTTTGTTCTAACCACAAGTTTAGCACTTGGCCTCAATTGATTGTTCCTTTGTCTACTGTGTCAAATAAATTTAATATCCAACCTTTTGGATATGGAAATTGCCATGTTTGCCTTTTTTCCCAACCAATCTGAAGGTATATGCTTTGATATAAGGCAATGGACAAGATGCTGACAGCCCTTTATGGAGAAGACAATGAACTCTACTCCCCATTAAATATGAGTAATCTGCACTGGAATTTTTCAAATAGAAAGACCACAAAATATCTTCAGTTTTGGCATATGAAACACATTTCTGAGCTCAGAAGTATTTAATTCCAAATGTAATGTCTTTTGTAATAGTTCTGATTTGTAGATTTCAAGGTTCTTTTTAAAGAAATACTCATCAAGTAGATGGCTTGAACATGATGTCTACTTACTTCCATCAGAAAATAAATACAGCCATGTGCACAAACTATTTGGAGTCATAATCAAATATTTTCACATTTAATTTGTTGAATGGTTAACAGTTCTCTAGGAACCATTTCTGGAAAATAATATGCAATCTAGAATAGACATTTTGCTTTGTATAACTCTCTTCAACTGAAGTAGCAGACTTGCAGTAATATGACTAGAATAATGTTCTTCAAAGTGCCAATACTCAGATAAATTTACCGGAATTAATCACATATGTGACTCAGAATGTAATTCTACTTAAGTTGTATTTTGAGATTTCCAAATGAGACTGGTGCTTTCAAGATTCATTGCTGCTTTTAGGAGACTACTGTACTTGGTGATATTACAATTCCTCTCAGGAGTTTGGGAAGGAGACTGCCTTGAACCATCTATCCTGTTGTTGTGATTGACAGGGAAATAGAGCAGCAGTAATGCACTTACTTAACTTGGAGTAAATTACAGTATATAATTCAGTGGGATACACTGTACTGATTTGGTATGTGTGGAGGACTATTAAAGATCACATAGAAGTGAAAGGAATGGATAAAATATTTTGGTATATTCAAATAGATGAAGAATTGGGGGAAATGGTTAACATGGGGAATTTATTAAATTTGAAGAGGCTATATTACAAAAGGAAAGTTCAGGTGAAGAGAAATAAAGGGACAGTAGTTAAAATTTACAAAATAGTATTGGAAGCGGAAGATCAGGAAGATTTACTTAAAGTATTATAGGAATATGACCTAGGGGAAGAAATAAGTATCAGTGTTTGAAGAATATATGGAATATTAGAATATTTAAATATCTGTCATTAGGGATAAAAGAAAAAAAAAAGTTAGTTTGGAAGTGGTACTTACATCTTATGAATACCAATTATACTAAGATGTGCCGGAGAGGGTGCCAAGAAGCAGGTACTTATTTTCATATGTGGTGAGAATGCAAGATTATTAAAATATTGGCAATAGTTTTATAGGAAATAAATAAGTAAATTAAATTATATAGTGCTTTTATCAAAATGGACTGTGAATTGATCTGAGAATTCACCCTTCATGCTGGATGTGATGCGCATTCTAGCCCACAGCCCCACTTCTTTCCTTCCTCTGCTCCTGCTGATCTGAGAGAGAACTGACAGGGGCATCAATATGGCAAATAATAATAACAATGACCCAGTGATAGGGTGATCTAGCGCTAATCTCATATATGTAAGATTTTTTTTTTTTTAAAGGAGGGTGATCAAGGGAAAGGAAAGAATGCAGGGATATGTTTCCCTGGTTCTGAACATCATGCCCCAACTGCTTACATC